TGTAATGACGGGGAGGGCCTGGACCCTTTTGGCCATAAATGAAACCAAAATCGATCACAAAATTGATGACAAGCTTATTTCATTAGATGATTTTTCTCTTTGTAGATATGACAGGAGTAGGCAAGGAGGTGGCGTTGCTCTCTATGTCAGAAATACAGTCAGGTTTAAACCCCGGGTAGATCTTCCAAATAAATCGCTTGAATTGATTTGGAGTGCTTAAGATTAGTTTTATTGACCATTATCTTGTATATTGTGATAGAAAGCTGCGTGGTGGTGTTAAACACCAGCACAAATATATTACATCTCGTCAGTTGAAGAATTTTAATCATGAGGCTTTCCTCTCAGATCATTCTGAGGTTAATTGGGAGGCACTCGTAGCAGATGCTCAAGACATTGATGATGCAGTACGCAAGTGGACCCAAATATTTTCGCTTATTCTAGAAAAGCATGCGCCTACATTAAGAAGACGCGTGTCTCATCGATATAAGTCTTTGCTGAATGCTGATTATTTCAAATTGGCTAAAGCGAGAGATAAGTTAAAAACTCGAGCTGTAAAAACCAACTCAAAATTGTTGATGGAGTCCTACAGGCAAATTCGTAACAGGTTAAATGACTTGAATACAAAACTTAAACGCGAGTATTTCTCTGAAAAAATCACGCAGTTTCAAGGTGACCTCATAAAAACTTGGAAAACCATCAACCAAATCATTAACAAAAAGTCGAACACTACAGTTGTGCCTAACCTTACTGTAGACAGGCAAACAATTAGGGGTAACAAAGCAATTGCATCTTCAATGAATGAGTACTTCTGCAGCATTGGGAATAAACTTAGTTAGAAAATTTCAAATAAAGTCAATCCACTCTTGTCTGGTGAATACCCGTTTGAAACTCCTCCATTAAGTTTCTCTTTTTCTGCCATCATGACAGATAAATTATCATCGACCTTAAATAAGATGAAGACATCGCATGGTTCAGGTCACGATGGCATTGCGAGCTTTTATTTGAAGATTGCTTTGCCAGTTGTTGGTGGGTCCTTGTGTGATCTCTTCAATAAATCATTGTTTGCAGGAAAATTTCCGGAGGACTGGAAAATAGTGCGTATTGCACCCATCTTCAAGAGTGGCGCAAAGGATGACAGGTCGATTTATAGACCAATATCAGTTCTTCCTTTCATATCTAGGCTATTTGAGAAATTAATTTTCAATCAGTTTTATGAATACCTGGATGCAAATAAATCATTATATGAGCATCAGTCTGGTTTTCGACTCTTACACTCGGTAACCACAGCCCTGGCTAGCACCAATGATTGGTACCTGAATATAGATAAGGAAAATAGAATGGTCTTATCTTTATTGAATTGAAGAAGGCTTTCGACACGGTCGATCATGAAATCCTACTGAAAAAACTGAAAATTTACGGAGTGACCGGCCTGGAACATGACTGGTTCACATCATACTTGGATAACTGTAAACAATTCTGCAGGGTAGATGGCACCTCCTCTGATGTGAGAGGAATAAATTGTGGAGTTCCTCAAGGCTCTTGTCTTGGTCCACTCTTGTTCCTGATTTACATCAATGATTTGCCTTTTTCCTTGCAGAAATCTCATGTCAGCATTATGCTGATGACACGGCTATTTTCCTCTCTTCAAAAAGTATTGATGACCTGCAAAATGACCTAAACTTAGATCTTTTGAAGCTACAGGTTGCATGCAAACAAACTTTCCCTGAACGTTGTACTCATTTCCATCTAAGGCCTGGTTCAAACGTCGCGCTTCTCATGTGCCGAACCTAACTCGAGAATTAAGTACATGAGGGGCGCGACGTTTGAATCAATTTGGTACGGCCGATTTAGTTAGGAGCGACAGACTAGTTTGGATCGGCAGAGCTTGCCGAGCTGCACGGCTCCAGCACGGCACGGTTTCAAGCGTCGAACTTGTCATGTACCGAACTCAATGCATAATTATATTTAATTTATTTTCCTTCCCAGAATTCATTTCTTTCTTGGAGGGTGCATGCGTTTCAAACAAATATTTGAGATTGCGCGCCTTAACCAAGGTACTTCATGTAACAATCCTATAACCCATTTGGCGCGACATAATTAAGTTCGACGTTTGAAACGGGAGTCGCGCTAAACATGCTCAAGTGTCGCTCCAAACAGAGTTAGGTTCGGCACATGAGAAGTGCGACGTTTGAATCAGGCCTAACAAACTTTCAATCTGACATACTCAATAAAATGTATAGAGGAATTGTTGAGCCCCATTTGAGCTACTGTTGTTCCGTTTGGTGCTGCTGTAGTGAATCAAAGCTTGACGTCTTGCAAAAAAATCCAAAATAGAGCTGCCAGAATTGTAACTAGCAGCCCATACAATGCGTCTGCTGCTCCGATAATTCAGAATCTTGGCTGGCCAACTATCAGTAATTTTTTAAGAAAGGAGACAGTCACACTAACTTACAAATCTTCAAATTTGCTTGCACCAGACTACTTGAGAAAATTATTCGCAAAATGTTCGGACGATGGAGAACGGTTTCTGCGTTCATCAGAAACTGATCTTAAGATACCGCTAGTAAAAAACGATAAACAGCCAGAAGGCTTTTTCTTATCGCGGTCCAAAACTGTGGAACAGTCTAGAAAGAGCTACTAAATTGCCCCCTCCCTGAAAACCTTCAAAGAACAGCTATAGTCAGGGACAACTTTAATTTCATCTTTACGTTCTCTTTTTATAGCCTCAGTTTTATATAGTATTGTAAATTAGGTTAGGTTAGTAAATTTCTTTGATTGTATGAACCTTTAACCTGTATAAATACTATAAAATGAAAAAATGAAATACGAATGAATGGCATAATTTTGCGTTACCTTTCTGCCCTTCCAAGCACTTCTTCCTTTGTTATTCTCCGATTCCATGATATTCGCAACATTCTTCCCAGAATCTACATCTTTACTGCTTTTTGTCTCGTCTCAATTTCTTTTGAGAAAGTCCACGCTTCATGACTATATGCGATGATTGATAAAACACAACAGTTTACGTACTCTAAGCTTGGTTTCCATTGAAAACTTCCTATCTTTCAATTTTGCACAACGTTTCTCAAATGCTTCCTTTGCTATCCCAGTTCACTTCTAATCGCAGTGCCGTACTTCACTTCCTCTGTTATCAAACATCCTAGATACTTGAGTGAATCATTACCATCTCTCATTCTTTGACTGGAAATTTTGGTATTATTTTCGTCTTGCTAATAACACATTCTGTTTTCTTACATTTGATTGACGAACCCCATACTGTACCATGTAAACTTGGAGCTTTTTTATCCGGTGTAGCAAATAAAGCAGTATCATCAGCAAAGAGTACATTATTGGTGTTATGACTCCCAACTATGCTCATCAAGTTTCTTTGATCACTCTGAGAAGGTTTGCAGTGTAGAAGTTGAACGAATCAGAACTTAACGTGGTTCCTTGTCTAACACCTCTTTTTATTTCTGCAAAATGAAAAAAAACAAAACCTCAACGAATGGTACAATTGCTTCTGAAACAAACCCCAGACCTGTTTAAAGCATTTGCCCGGGTGCTTGTGAGGTTACTGGTAACAGAATCAATTGCGATTTTATCCGCATCGTGGCATATCTCGTGGAGATCATCATAACGTTTTAAGAATACCGGCTGAAGAGCTTGTTGTGAAGTTTAAATTAAGGTATAAGTCCTTGCGTAAAATAAGAAGAATATTAGCAAGTGATTAGTGCAAAAAGTGACAGATTAGCCTCGTAAAGAAAACAACGCATACACGTGATAGGTCATTGGCCAAGGTCATTATGTCATATAAGGTAATAACGGAAGCACACACATGGGCGTAATATATCAGATAGCCTATTGACATAAACAGAAAGGTTGTAGGCTCTAAACGAATATTACGTACAGAAGCTATTTGTGAAGGCCAACGTTATGATAAGTGAGAGAGGCATATTTTTTGCGAAAGCAAAGGTTTTATGATTCGCACGAATTGTTTCTTGCTATTCTTATTATAGTTATTATAAGAATAGGGGTCTTGATAAAGTATGTTTTACACCTCTAATCCATCAAATTAGAATTCAATTTGCGTTTGATCTTAGTTTTTAGATTGTATGTTTAATTTATATACAAAGAAAGAAGGGTTTTCTTCAATGAAGCAAAAACTATCAAAGAAGCAGAGTTACTTTTGCAAACTGCAACTGCAGGTCTGGAAAAGGTGTTCTGTAAGCAGGTTGCTGTAATTTTGTAAATTCTTTGGTATTATTTGATATTGAGGCTCAAAACTGTTCCTGATGACCTCACCTGCTAGTGACGGACCTGTTTTCTGACTTGTTAACAAGGTGTTTTCTGTTATTGCATATTCTTGTTTGACTTTTCTGAAATAATTCCAAAGGATGCAACGTACTTCGTCAGTGTTCTTAGATTCAAATCAATTGCGTTGCGTCACTTTTTCATTTTGTGCCATGGTACTTTTCCTAAAACGACACTTTGAGGTTTAGGATTTGCCTGATGCCGATGAAACATTGGTGATATTGGGCAAGATTGATACAGCCGTCAGAAATATTTGGATGAAACACTTATATAAAATACCATATTCAGAAACGGTTAACAGACTTCTTCTATCCATGTAGCCTATACAAATTAAGCTGAAAGTGTGGTTTTTAAAAAGTAACATTGTTTACAACTTGGTTTTAGTCAATTTTTACTTACCCCTGTTACAACGTACTTCGGATTTAGAGTACTTAATCCGCCAGTCGCTTAAGGTACGTTCTAACCGGGGTTCGCTGAATTTTCTTTTGCATTTTAAATTGTAAAGATTTTCTTAAAAACTCATTTACAGTTGGCAGCGAGATCTGGCATTAAGCCAACTATGTACAATGAACATGAAAGTCATTATTTATAAAAAGGCTAAATGTGCAATAAATGTTTTACACAATTTACAGCTGCACTTGATGTTTTTTAAAGATTTTATGTTTTGTTTAGAAATATGTAGCGATTGAGACCTTCACGTCATGAATTCTCTGTTCAAAGGATTCTTCCTTTTCTTACATAAAAATTAGACTTTGATTTCACATTGCTATGATTCGTCCTGCATCTCTTCGTCTTGTGACTGCTCAACATTCTCAATCTCTGCATTGTCAAAAATAGTGCTCATCTCAAAAAAGGCTTGTCTTCTCTTTCCGGATGAAGAATGTTAGACATGACTTTTAGGCCCAATCAGGGTTATTCAAATAAGTCCTCTTGCCATCAACAAAGTGAGCAAAACAAACTCTGCGTTCATGTTCATTCTAGAGATCTTGCGTAGCCACATTCTTCTCAGTGTTTTGTCATGTAAATCCATCTCGTGTAGTGTAAAAGGCAATAAATTTCAAAGTAAGTATGGTCAGAATTCAACAACCTTTCACCATCAAAACAACCAAAACACAACGAGGAAAAGATCACTTTATGCTACCATTCCCAGAATGCATTGTGCGCGCGGCCTAAATTACGCCAGCGAGTAAATCGCCTATTTGAAGTTATTGCTCCAGCAAACAATGACGGGAACACTTTCGAGAACGAAAAACTGAATTCAGAAATATTTAAAGTATAATATGTTCTCTTAGTGCTACAAGATCACATTTCAAAAACGCTATTTGTGATCGCTGTAGAATCTTAAATCCGACTACATGTCAACTTCCTCAAAAAATCAAAGTATACTAGAAGTAACGATACGTTATGAAATGCATGCGCTTGAGGAAAGGAAAAATGCCAAAGTTAAGTTGTATGATGGCGGTACACAGAAATAAACAAAGACAAACAGAAGAAGTACTTGATTATCACCAGGATATCAACAATAACAGAACAAAACAGCTTAGTAACACAACTTATAGTGAAAAAGTATTAGCATCATCAAATGAGCTCCCGTTTTTGCCATCATTACGAATAGATTTCTATCAAAGCTGCCAAACTCCAGGTGTAGAGACAAAATATATTTTGAGGATTTTAGGAATTTTTGCCTGTAATAGATTCCAGAAGCTTTCAAAATTCTCATGCTTTATACAGAAGGTTAGGTTCGCCATATGAATAAATTTATTCGCCACATGCACAATCAGAAGACTAGGTTCAGGAAGTTTTCCAAAGTGTACAGCGAATACCTAGATATCAAATAAAGAAATGGCAATAAAACCATGACAAATGGGCCTAGCTATTTTCTATTATTCACCTCAAGAGATAGTTGCTACTTCATAAACTAAAAGTTCTGCATCTATTCACAATTTTACCTGGGCCAGACCATCGCAATCGCGTCAGTCAACTCGAGGCAGCTTTGACTACAGGAAGTGACGCCGGGAAAAATATCATTTGTACGGCAAGAACGGAGATGTGCTGTACAAACAATGTTATGAAACGTGCAAAATTAAGCAAAGAATTCCGGCGAAAATTAAGTTATAAGTGATTAAACTGTAAAAAATGAAAAACCCCTACGAACGTGAATAATTGAATTTCAAGGAAAATGGGAAGGTAATGCATAATTCTTGGCATTAATAGTGATGGTACCGATCGTTGTTTTTGGAGGATCTACAGTCTTTTTTGCAGTCCCTAAACATTTTTAAACAAAATGAGTTTATTGATCTGATGGCGAATATTTGGTTTGTTCTTATTTATGACTCGCTTTTTAATCTTTTCTTGGTGGACCTTCGCAAACAAACAGTCAAATATTTGAAGCAGATATTTTTGACGAGGTGTATCAAGTGATCACCTTGCAAGTCATCGGTCATGAAACTAGAAGGAATCTAGCAAGTACCAAAGGAATAAGATTTAAGGAAAAATTTATAAATTTTACAGAAAGCGACAATATTGAAGAACCTAAAATGGTATTGATAGGCCTCATTGTAAACAAACCGGTGAAGTAAAATTGATCCATCACCACTTACATCCGTAGAAATACTGGAGGCATCGGTTTTACTTCCAACCCTATTAAAAGACTGCCTTTTTCTATCAGTCTGTCAATCCTTACACCAAAAAACACACACGAAAAAACCAGCCTAATAGCGAGATGCAATAGAACGCCATACACTGAGTCACTTCTTGCCGTGTAATGCGGAAATCGATAGGCTTCACTGCCTTCCTAATCAGTGATGTACGATTCATTGGTTTAAAATGTCATACCTCAAGAGTCGCTCAGGTGTGTGAGTCACTCGCATTCAACCCATAGAGTCAGCCACCTACATTTCGCAGCGAAGTGTATGACACAAGAAAAAAATATAAATCAAAATGCGATGATCACTAAAATCACTGTTGCCAAAGTGATCCTGTTCCCAAAAGACAATGGAAATTTTGCTGACGTTGCACTAAAATCTCAAACTTTGTCAAGAATAGGAAGCATGCTGTCGCATGCAATAATAGCTAAACCAAGAATAATTGTCCTTATATTTGAATACATATTTCTAATTTAAATGTAAAAATATTTAGACAAGAAATTGTTCATTAAGTGCTAACACTGTTAGTTATCCACCCAGGAACCATGTAGGGGTTGGTCAGCTGACCACGCCTTCTTCGCTTTGCGTTTCGTGCTTCAAGCTGCCGTTTGACGTCACACATCAGGTGATCGTGTGTCTTGCGCACCAGATCGCGAAGACTGTCGTCTTTCAGTTCAGAACTGTAATCAAACAGCACATCGTAGTGAAACGCTCCGATCGCGTAAGAGTAGGCCGCTTGCTCCTGCAAATTCAATATGAAATAATCACGCATCTAAGCCACGCATCTTAGCAATATTTTCTGTTTATCGTTTCGAATACTTGATGATATCCTTGGTACCATAGCAACCAATTTCGAGCAAAGGGATAGAAGATCAATAGTGGAGAAGAGAAGGAGCATCTATCTAAGACAATGACTTTTCCTTTTTCCAAGATAAAAGCTTCTCCGCTTCGCCGCTACTATCTTTTTTTTCCACGCTAGAATATTTGCGCTACTGTTAATAAGCGTAATGTGATACTGCCTTGAAAAGTAATTCCTCGTTACTGTTAGTTTAACAATAGTGTGAACACTGATAAACACCAACATGAAGCAATTTAAGAGATTGCATTATGGAAGTCATAGACTGCAAGCGTTACAGGCGCATTGATTTTCGAGATACCAACCTTTAATAAGAACTTTGAATTGATTTGCACTTTTTGATGATTTTATTTCATTTGGAAGACAATTTCAAATCTTTGGACTCAAAAAGCCTATATATTTTATACAAAAACTTGTAGTTTTAATTTTAAGAACAGATTCCAATTCTTCGAAAATTATAATTATTGGGCTTTTAGAGAAAGTAGTCTTTCATAAAAACTGGATTCAAGTTGCGCAAACTTCTAGTGGTAGCAGCCTAATAGAGTGAATATGAAATGTAGCAGATTCAGTGTCGACTAGAAGTTTAGAACACGATGAAATGAAATCTGAGAGGGCTAATCGTAGGGCCCTCTCGTTTACTTTCTATAACCTCTTTTGGCTTGCATTAATGCAGTATACTCAGATGAGGGTGCAGTAATTGACGGTTTTTTTATTGCGTTTAGCTGTATGGCAGCTTTTTTGCAGAAGTTTAGCTGTATGGCTGCATTTGATTTTAATTAAGACAGTCAATGCATTTGTTGGTGTTATGCTGTACTAATTTATGAAGTTCGTCAGCTTTCACAGCCAATATTGAAATCGTATCATCGTCTGCAAAGTTACACAAGGAGCCCTCCTCTATGAAGAGAAATATGTCATTTATAAAGAGGTCGAAAGGAATGGTCCCAGTATTGATCCCTGAGGTACTCCTTGATTAAATTGTCTCCATAAGCTAAATTATCCACTGACTTTAAACATTCGTTTTCTGTCAGCAAGAAAGCTCTGAAGCAGTTTGGGTGAATTTATACCAACTCCATAAGCTGCTAGATTTTGCAATTAATAGATTTGTGAGGAAGCTGACAAAGACTCTGCGTAAATCCAAAAGAGTATAGCTGCAGTGTGTTTCTTAACTTTAAGGCTAGTTTTTCACTCCTCTATCAATATGATTAAAGCATGCTGGCATGAAAAGTGTTTTCTGTAGACCTTTCATCATAATGGTAATAATATAAAACGAATGATTTGTTTACAGTTGGCGACGAGATCTCGCTATGTATTTAGACAATTAAAGCTTGTTTCCGACATTTCGTTCCCCTTCCTGATTATGTGACGTTCTGTTTTCTGTGACATCGTATCTAAGCAGTCTTCTGCTAATCTTAGAAAGGACATCAATTTCCAATCGCATTGAAACCGATTATTACAAATCTACAATCTTCTCGGTTCCCACTAACTATACCGGTCTTGTGCTTGCGTTTTTCTGATTGGCCTATTTCGATCCACAACTGGGTATATATTTTTCATCGTGTTCTTTCGGACCCTGATTCTGACGTTTTATGTTCTGAGGAGTGTCAGACGAAAAAGCTTTAGTTAATATGTTGTGAAATGTTTGCTTATTTCAAAGCCATTTTCAAGTTATGTACCGCCAAAAAACTGTTCAAAAAGAAAATTGAATACGGAGTGCCACAGGTTTCATGTCTTGGTCCACTCCTATTCAGCGGTGTAGGGGAGGGGTAACGCGGCATAACGCCGTTACGCTTTCTAAAACGTTTGTGTTGCAGTTTTTTACTATCTACCCAAGCAAAAAGTAGCGTTATGCTTCTTAAATATTAGTATAATACTCGATATAAGTACAAATATCAAATGTTTCTATTAGGCGTATCCGATTGTGATTCAAATCAAAAGAGAGTTTATCCGCAAAAATTTGATGGTCATTTACAGTAAAATGTAACTAGGCAATGAAACAGAGATTCCATCTACAATGAACCACACTTTCTTAATTGAATTGATAATGATTCTCTTAAAAAATCTGATAAAATCGGTTTGGAGCCACTTTTTGGTCAATGTAAACTATTTTAGAACCTTTCTAAACAAAGAGAGTTTTCCATTTGGTCATTTCAGTTTTAATTCTGTAAAGGACATATTTGAAGTTCATAAGCAAAGGCTGTGTAACTTGTAGAATGGGTTTGGCAAGATAGAATATCGTTATATTAGGCCCTGACAACAGTTCTAGTTGCAAAAGCTTGAATCAATAACGTATTTTGCAAAGTATTGTTAAAAAGATAAAAGGCCAACTATGATGATTTCATTTTGAAAAATTAGATTAAGTGTTGCACTTTGGATTAAAAATAGTGTAACGATGAAAAAGTTTGCATCACTGACCTCTGAACAACAGAATTAAACTTCTACTATAACGGGTTCGATTGCAACCTGTACTGTTCATTTATGAACCTTTCTGAGCTGCTTTGACAGAAGCAAACTGTTTGCATACCTAAATTTAGCTTTGCATTGCTCAGGTTAGTAGAAATTATGAATGTGATTCTCAAGAAAAGTTTCTGCATAAAGAAAAGGAATGGAATTCTAAATTATAGACTCTGTTTATTAGTAGGAAAATGCTTTTGGCGTCAATATCATCGTTTTTGTCCCCTCGCTGGTTTCCCACTCTACAATGTCTCAAACCTGTCTTCTTTTGCCCTGAGCAGTAAAAAGCACAGCATTGTCTACCCTCCCTATCCTTCTTGTTGTGTTATACAAGAACTAGCAAGTGCTCTATCGTGACTTCTTAAAAGATGTGTATTTTCTTTGATCAACAGCCTCTGCTTGAAAGGCTGGTCAATATTGCAAAGAGAGTGGACATATAGGATGCCATTGCTTTTTCAAACATGAACTTTGCAGTAAGCCGGCCATGTTCGCAAACGCTAGTTAAGTCATGTGCTCGCATAGTACGATAAAATACTTGATATATAAACTTCCTAGCTTAGAGTTTTCGATCTTTGTTCTAGCCGTTTATACTCTGAAGAGCGTCAGAAAAACGAAATGTTTCAAAAATTTTGTTTTCAAAGCAATTTTTGATATCATGACTCTTAGATAGCTGCTGTTACCCTCATTCAGAAGCTGAATTCACGCCTAACGCGTCACGATGCTTTGCACCACAATGTGTAACTTCGAATAACAAGACGCGTCACGACGCGTCACGACAGTCTATTCTCACCGTCTGGTTGGTGACAAAGGTAAAAATTTGTTACCTTAATTGATATCAAATTCTTGAACCAAATACCAGAAGAAATTCGCTCCAAACCAAGCAAAAATTTATTCAGTAAATTTCTTTTCAACTTGTTACTTTACCAATATTAGTATAAATACAACCGACCACTCTGCTTCACTCATTTTAATGAATTCTGAAAATCTCTATTTCATCTCTCCTCATAAAACTCACCTTCAATTAGAAGCTGCCGTGTCCCCCTTCTTTTCCACTTTCGTGTCATTTTTCTATTCTTTCTTGTAATTTTGTTCTGTTACTGTTGCTTATAATTTTTTGAAATTCAGACTGTTTAATATTAATGTATATCACAAGCGTATTTAATAGGGCACTGGGCTCGATAACCTTTCAGGTTTATCTCAGTGTCCTAGCCAACACTCACGGACATTCTCTTTATAATTCTTTAATTCCTCTTCATGTTTAAGACAATAAGTTAATATATTTTTAATAAACACGCTGTAAGAATGTTGCTTAATGGAAAGAAATTTGGATTTGAATATACTCTGCTTGTTCTGGTATTCCAAACTCAATCTGCAAGCTGCTTTTTATAGGAAGCCTCAAAGGCTCCAGAGGACTATAGAGCTAATGGTCGAATAAAAACCCAGTCATAATATTTCTTTATCATAATATATCCTTAACGTAACTCACTTAATATTACCCTCTCCAGACTGTTTATAGTTGCTGTATGAGTGTTTACAGTCTTCACACCAAACACACCAACTCGTCTAAATATTCCTCCCTCTTTGAATCGCATAAGCACGGATTTTTCCAAACTTCTTGGATCACAATTCCTTGCTAATATCTTCCCAACCATTTTTACGCAGTCGGCTATTGTTCTGAAGCGTCAAAGTCGGATTTAAGAAACTCTGACATATCATGACACAGCGCTGAAAAACGCTTTGCGCACGCATTGCGTCAACAAGAGGGAAGCCAAAAGGGCAGAGTCAAAAAACTGCAAAATCTACCTTTCAGCCAAATTTGACGTTTTATACTAAAGAAATCAGTAGACTATGGGGAGTCTCTTCCAACTCAGTATTTTTGGGTTGTAAACAACATTCCAAACAATCCCAAAGATGACCGAGGTCGATTTGCAAACCACATTCTCCTCTAAGGATGATTTGCAAACCACATTCTCCTCTAAGGATGATTTGCAAACCACATTCACAACCAGTTGATTGGAGTCGTAGCAAATGGTCTCAGTTTGATTAACTGGTGAAATAGGCTTTTCTTTCTTTGTCTTTGACCTTCAAAATTATTTTTGAATGAAAATGCAAATTCGAAGCTTTTTCCACAACTCATCTCCGCCTCTAATCAAAGCTATGCAGAGTAGAAACACCATTCTTATATTAAGTACTAATTCTTATTACAGAAAAAGCCTTGCATAACCTAGCAATTTTCGTTTCAAGAAAAACCTATGTTGATTATTTGAAAAGAAATTCCTTGAAACAAAAAATAATCCAGCCAATTAGGTCCCTTTTCCTGGCTGCTGCTTAGTACCCTTCAGTCAGAAAATACGGATATTCTCAGAAAAAGAACCTAACTTGTGTCAATGGTCTTAAAATACAAAAATATACCAAGGGCACAACTTGCGTTTAACTGTTAACCAACTTACCTGTCACGTGATTTGTATTATCTTGAAAATGGTTATAATTACTTCGTTTTATTATGTTCGTCTTTAACAAAATTACATGAGAACAAATTTATAATGCCTGCGCAACGCCTTGATAAACAACCTTTGACCGTTCTCGGTAGCATCTCCCTCTCCCTCTCGAAACATTAGAAATTTCTACATTTAAAACTTGCCCTTTATGGCCTAGATATCTTGATTAAAAGGAAATTCCACTCACGTAAGCTGCTCGAGGACCAGCTATCATGTGAATATATTTGCGTTCGCGTAAAGCTCGAACACTGGCATACAGCTTTGAAGGATAAACGGGTGCCAAAGATCCATAATCACCAATTGCGTTTTTCAATGCTCCGTTTTGAACAATTACCCAGAGAGTTTCAGATACGAGCTTCTCAAGCTGCTCCCTCGAAGTGAACGTTCCAGGTAGCCCTTTCACCTTGAGCAGAAGCGGAAAAAATTTTGCAGTCATTGGCCAGGAATAAAGGTAAAGTAATACTTGGAAGTATATAAAGATTTCTGCATAAAGGCTCTTGTTTAAAAGAAGCTGTATCTCATGTTATTAATTTCGTATTTTTTTTTAAGATGTATAAAACATTTTGGTGATAAACAAAGAGAACGCCATCAATTTCTGACTGCGCTAGATAACAAAGAAAGATTGCAGAATGACTAACCATGCCTAGGCCATCATTTGGAGGTATCTTGCCATTACTTGACAGTTCATTGATGAAATTCTGCATTTCAAAGTCATCTTTGACATCGTCATCATTTTCGTAGTATCTTGAAAACAAAAAACGATATAACATCATAGAGATGGGCTTTCGAATTGAAAATACACAATGAAGGGAAGGGAGGTGTATACCAACCCTGGTGAATTTTTGTGAAATAAGCGACAACAAAGATTCAACTTTGAGGAAAATTAACATTAACACAAAATGAAAATCGTAAATGCTTTGCATGCACAACTCACAAATGAACCCAACTTTCCTTCAAATGATTCACATTATACGACTATTTGGAGGTCGTGAAGAATGCGTTTGGTGGACCTCTTAGGCATCAAAATATGCTACGCACTTTAAGGGATCTCTCCTTCACAAGCAAAATGGCTCTTTATCGTCAAATAGGGCAAATAGGGCAAAGACAAGGTTTTGAGGTGTAATGGTCCATTTTCAAAGGAAAGTTTCGGATATTTAATTGTTTATAGTATATAGTATAATTATGCTGGAAAAAGGGAGCTTTAATAAATTTCTCATACATACAGAGACACGAATTCTTTTGCAAACTTTTTCAATACAGCGTTCAAAACTTTGCCATCATCACGATAGGGGTAATATGGGACTTTCTTGATGTCATCCATTCCACGATTCTGCAATATTGCTAAATCATTTATAATTTGCAAACAATTAAAATAATCATAATAGGCATTATAACAGCGTTCGATTAAAAAAATGTGTGAAAGAGGTACGTATCAACAAATATGCGAGTAATAAAATATGTGAAAGAGGTTAATTTGTTCAATAAGTAAATTACTGTTATCAACCAAAGACCTGTATGTTACAAAGTAAAGCTTACACACGTAAGAGTTAAAGATTTACATGGATAAAAGCTGAAATATTTACAGTATTAAAGATATGTTGAATGTCAGTCATGCTGTGGAATCATTATGCATTTTTAAGATGACAGAATCGATGTGAATGTTTGGTGACATGGCTCTCAAAAAATTATTTCTTCTTAATTAACGTGAATTATCTTCTAAGTCCGAATAAAAATTCACAATTCTTTATTATACATTGGGTTCGGAGATTTTTTATATCTGAAATCCCACAAGCAGCCACAATAATTTTGCGCAGCTTTAACTTTGCACGCACGCTTGAAGTTTTGTAAAAGTTTAAAGTGAAGTCAAAAACATGACAAAAATTAGAGTTGAGTCTGAGGTTGAAAATGTTTTAATCCATTTTCGATGCAACTTCACGCAAAACAATAGGCCTGTAATAATAATAATGATAATAATAATAATAATGGTACAATCGAGCATATCCACCACAAGTGTGGCTCTTCAACTCTTAAAATCAAAAGCAAAGTTAAATTAAAAGTTCAAATGTTAAGAACAGTTACACAATTATAAAAACAAATAATGTTCTTAGTCAAATTTGTTGTTTGCTCTTTCAAATAAATGCTTCTTTAAGTTGGAACAGAACGGCCTGTATCGCGTTTCAGTTATTTCCAAGTCAAGATATCTTATCAGGGTGGTAAACCAGAAGATAAGACAAATATTTCTGTCGTTTATTGAAGATTGACTATCAAGGGAGACTCTAGACTACTATTGAAACACTGAAATTAAGAATGTGACCAACAATTATTCAAAGGTCAGGAAGTCAAGTGTGCCACACTGATGTCTAACATCACAAACAAAAAGGAAACTGAACATGTAGAAGTTGAAATTTCAGACTCAATGAGATAGATATCATAGTAGGTTGCCTCAGTAACTTTTGCTTTGGTTGGACGAAATCTGTGTTGGCAACCCTTTATCATACTTAACATTCCTCATGAATGAGCAACTTCTTATCAGTCATTTCGTGTCATCGTGTAGTTTTAATGATTTCTACACACAACGTAGAGTCTTTAACACAAATGCAAGTATATTGAGTATGGTAAGGGCGTTGTAAGGGTGTGGTCATGGGTGTGGTCTGTTGAATTTGCCTACAGCACAGTCCCTCCTTTTTAACTTTTTGGAACAGCACCCCTTTTCATCAATTTCAAAATTTTAACTCCAAGCTTTCCCAAATTTCATCACCAGGGAGAAAATTATTTATGAAAATAGAAATTGTTTAGAGTTATTTTACCTCAATATCATTGTCAAGATCCATGTCATTCCATCGAGCTTCTTTTAGGCCACGGGCCATCATTTTAAGAATGCCTTCTACTCCTACAGGAAACAGATTATCTAGCAGAGGGTTGTTTGCAAACATTTCGTCGATTCTCTTCATGGTGATGGGTATAGTCCCACGACAATGGAACTTCATCACCTGATGGAACGGGTGGATTTCTGACACATGTCGATTCAGGGAGATGCAAAACGGCATCATTCGCAGGTTGGTCTGCACAAAGCTGCGGTGGAACAGGCTGAAGAACAAGTCAGCAGCTTGCAATCTTGCCTTCGCAGCATCCCAGAACAAACCATCTCTTGGAGTGTACACCCTTGAGCCTGTAAAGAGCAAGCTACGAGTTGACGCTCGGAAATACTCAACAACGTTCAATAAATAGGCATGTTGCTAAAAGATTTTGAAGGGAAGGAAGTAAAACGAGCAGCCTTCCCAGCTCAAAGAGTATCTCATACGGCAAAATGTAAAACGTAATTTAAGACAAGACGGTATGGAAATTGTCTTTCAGTTTACAAAAATTGAGAAAATTGGCTTGGATGACTAAACCAAAAGAATGCACCCACGTTTATTTGAATTGATCTGTATTGCAACAATTTCTAATTCATATCGCCTCTCTTCTCGGTTGTATGTTGATACTAAAACTGCAATGGGGCTCGTAAGCTTTAAAAGTTGTGAATTTTTCTGAATTTCACTCTTGACAGACTGTTTGGGAGATCCAAGTCCTTTTAAAAAAGGATACTGCAACACGTATACTAGATGCGACGAAATCGACTGTAAGAAAAAAAAACTGACATGGATCAAAGAATTATAGAATAAAGCTGAAAGTGATTGAAAATTGTAATTTAATAAAAGTCTCGCTTACATGATTCACTAAGATTTATCTACAAAAAATATCTTCAATAAGCAAACAAAAAATGTTGCTCTAAACACGACGTTTCCAATCATAATTGCTGCAACTCCAGCAATATTTATTTGATTAAATCTACAGCAATGAGTGAATTTATTCCTGTTTAATCTTTTAAAGTATTTTGTATCAGTTCTTAGCCTTAAATTGCATTACGTAATCAGGCAACTGCGCACAATTCAGCAGGCTAAAGTAGCCTCTGATTGATGGTACCTATGTGCGTTTGTCACTTATCAGCTTACCTTAATAAGGCTTTTTCCTGTCAGCCTCGATATCAATTTCTCCCATCTGAAATTATGGTTCAGTTTTCGATAGAGACTGTGGAAAGATGTTCCAGTATTGTCTGTTTGAAGCAAAAACATTTCTTATCAACGAGTACTTCAAGACATGTAAATGCAGTGCTTAACAGAAAGTTTTATAAAGGAAAGACAAACGTAAAGCCGTTAAAATGCCATTAAAGACACTGATGATAATTCGAAAATTATTTTGGAAAGTCTCAGTTTAAAACTCCGAAGAATGTTACGTTGGTCAGGGAAGACCCTAAAGATACCATGGTGCCTTTTTCATGTCTTGCGGTGCCTCTGAAATTGTGCCTTTCTCATGCCTTGCGTTAACTCCCTAGAAGTAGCAAACATCTTTGGCAGCGTGCATTAACTTGTTATTATCTAGATAATCTAGCTCAAGAGATGTCTTTTAAGAAATTTCCTCTCGAGTAGCTACATAGCAGTCTGTTTTTGTAAAATTTGATAGTTAATACGTTCGGCTCTTGATTGATGACTGCTTGTATGCTTAATGAAGAAACATGTCGTTTTCTGTTATGTATACTTATGTTTTGAATAGCCCGCGCCTCCCTATTTCTTATAGTTGCCAAGAAACTACGAAATTTACAGAACCATGAGTGTTGCGTAACGAATCATCACACTACATCATCACTGAATCGTCGTACATTGCATTGATTTTTTTGCCTTATCTTGCGACACTTGGTGGCTAACAATTTGATATCTCTTTCGATAGCAAGGGTTCTGACTGATTGATAAGTTGCGGACCATTCTCACACAAAACAGTGCAAGAACAGCGCTTCTATGCAATACCCGTGCCAGACTACAGTTTGATAGGGCATGTAGGTAGCTGCCCATGTCTGGACGGTAACAATGTGAACAGTTCCCCACACAGGCAAAAAAGTAACTGTTCTTTCAGCTTTTCTCTTTGATTCGCTGTTAATAATCCTTAAAAACTAGTTGTCAAATTTTACTCCTTATCTAATGACCCTCATAACTTAATCATGACTTTTCTCAGGTAGGCAGTACTCCGTGTACTCTGCTTCCATGAGAAGAATTCTAGAAAATTAGATTGGCTACATAGGTCATTTTCAATATATCCACATGCTGATAGCAGTTTTTATCAAGCAGAAATTTGTATATCCTTTTAAGGTATTTGTTTTGATCGACTATCTGTTATTTGAATTGTCAGTGTAGGTAGGCCAAAGTCTTCTAGGGCAGTGGGTAGCCATGAAGGTATAACAGCTATTTGGTATTTCAAGCATTTTTCATGTAGGCCGGCAATTGACTATACAGCCAACTTATCATGCTGGCAATTATGCGTTAACATAACTCTCGGATTCCTCTACAAGCTAGGACGTCATAGTAAAACTCATCGATTCAATCCCCCATGCTAATCGGAGAAACATAATCACACTTTGTGAAATAAGTAAGACGTCATCAAGAAATCACCTCAAAGAGAAGCCTATTGACACATGTAGAAGGCTGATACAACATATTGTCTTACTATCTTGTACTATATTGTCTTACTATATTGTCTTACTATATTGTCTTACTATATTGTCTTACTATATTGTCTTACTATATTGTCTTACTATATTGTCTTACTATATTGTCTTACTATATTGTCTTACTATATTGTCTTACTATATTGTCTTACTAATAACCAACATTAAAAACACAAGATACAACTGCACGTTACCTTCGATGGTCACTCTGCTGATCGATAAAGGGTTCACTCCAACCAACCTTTCGTGAACGAAGTACTTGTCATCCATACATATTTCTCGTGCAGATACTTCAGTTAACTGTTGATAACTCCTCCTAGGAAGCTTCACATAATTTTGCAGAATGGGAACTCCGATTTGTAACTGGAAGAGGAAAGCAAAAGAGGGAAAGATAATCATTCAACAACCAAACAACCTCAGATTTTTTTAAGAGCAACTATCGTACATTTATGAAAAATCTCTTGGACACGCTTTTCCTTGCAAGAAAGCATCAGTAACCTGTTCAAAGAAGTACTTAGACTTGACATGAAAAACATGAAAAAGAGACGTAACAGTTAAATGTCACGAATAAATCAATGCATGGTGGCTGTATTGATCCCATTTTTACTTTGTCACGTACCCGATAAGCTGCATCACCTCAGTGCACTAACTATCAAAGCTACTAATGTCCCTAACTAAACTTCCTATTTGACAGCAACCAAAGATCTGGAATGGGGCTACACAGGATAGAATCTATGAGGCGTTTGCAGTAAATCATATAAAGTGCAAAATTCAGTGAGAAATATTTAATATAAATAAATTTTCAAATAAAATATATTCTCTTATATTGAAATACCGAAATGACTTCTATAAAATTTATATAAAACATAGCTCATTTCTCATTTCATCAATGTGAGTTCATAAAGATTAGATTTCACCATACCTTCATTTTCTTCTCTAGAAACTCTGCTAGGGCAAAATAATCTTTGAATGATTCCAATTCGTTTCCCTGCAACTCATGAATTACCTCTGGTAGCCATTTTTGAGTAAGTGTCTTTCTAAATAGAGACATATATAAGGTGACGTAATGTGAAGAAAATCTGAACAACTTGAACAATTCTAGAGTTGTTGTGACTGACTGGTTCAAAGTTGTAACCAACAGCCTTGATTCAACCAATGGTTGGAAAAACATCTTAATGGTAGCCAAAACATTGCCTCTGTGTGACGCACAAGCTGACGATGAGTGTTGAGGGAGACATACGTTGCAGTACGAGGCTGAAATGAGAAACGAGATTCGTACTAATCAAATAATATCTTAAAATCTAGCATCTTGAAGAGCTAGATCGGACACATACCAAACAATAGGAAAGGTAAGAAATAACGCTAACAAATACATAAAACTAACATCAGCATGCTGGCAATAAATGAGTTTAAGAATACTCACGACATTCAACTTTTTCTAAAACTGTTGGCATTTCAGTGACAATTTTCGTAACAGGCTCAACCGTTGTTGTCTTTAGTTCCTTTGTAACAGGCCTTTTTGTTGTAACCGGTGCCTTTGTAAACTTTGTTGTTTCTTTGCCAGTGGACATTTCAAGTGACTTTGTAACCGGCCTTTCCGTAGTTACGGGTTCCTTGGTTCTTGCTTCAACCTTTGTAGTTTCCAGTTTTGAGACAGTCACAATTTTACACGTTGTTGTTTCTAGTTCCTTAGTCACCGGCCCTTTGGTTGTTTCTAGTTCCTTAGTCACCGGCCGTTTGGTTGTTTCTGGCTCCTTTGTTGTTGCTGCAAGCTTTGTAGTTTCCACTTTCGAGACAGTTACAATTTTGCCCGTTGTTGCTTCTAGTTCCTTAGTCACCGGCCTTTTGGTTGTTTCTAGTTCCTTAGTCACCGGCCCTTTGGTTGTTTCTGGCTCCTTTGTTGTTGCTGCAAGCTTTGTAGTTTCCAGTTTTGAGACAGTTACAATTTTACCCGTTGTTGTTTCTAGTTCCTTAGTCACCGGCCCTTTGGTTGTTTCTAGTTCCTTAGTCACCGGCCCTTTGGTTGTTTCTGGCTCCTTTGTTGTTGCTGCAAGCTTTGTAGTTTCCAGTTTTGAGACAGTTACAATTTTGCCCGTTGTTGTTTCTAGTTCCTCAGTCACCGGCCCTTCGGTTGTTTCTGGCTCCTTTGTTGTTGCTGCAAGCTGTGTAGTTTCCAGTTTTGAGACAGTTACAATTTTACCCGTTGTTGTTTCTAGTTCCTCAGTCACCGGCCCTTTGGTTGTTTCTGGCTCCTTTGTTGTTGCTGCAAGCTTTGTAGTTTCCAGTTTTGAGACAGTTACAATTTTGCCCGTTGTTGTTTCTAGTTCCTCAGTCACCGGCCCTTCGGTTGTTTCTGGCTCCTTTGTTGTTGCTGCAAGCTGTGTAGTTTCCAGTTTTGAGACAGTTACAATTTTACCCGTTGTTGTTTCTAGTTCCTCAGTCACCGGCCCTTTGGTTGTTTCTGGCTCCTTTGTTGTTGCTGCAAGCTGTGTAGTTTCCAGTTTTGAGACAGTTACAATTTTACCCGTTGTTGTTTCTAGTTCCTCAGTCACCGGCCCTTTGGTTGTTTCTGGCTCCTTTGTTGTTGCTGCAAGCTTTGTAGTTTCCGCTTTCGAGACAGTTACAATTTTGCCCGTTGTTGCTTCTAGTTCCTTAGTCACCGGCCTTTTGGTTGTTTCTAGTTCCTTAGTCACCGGCCCTTTGGTTCTTTCTGGCTCCTTTGTTGTTGCTGCAAGCTTTGTAGTTTCCAGTTTTGAGACAGTTACAATTTTGCCCGTTGTTCCTTCTAGTTCCTTAGTCACCGGCCTTTTGGTTGTTTCTAGTTCCTTAGTCACCGGCCCTTTGGTTGTTTCTGGCTCCTTTGTTGTTGCTGCAAGCTTTGTAGTTTCCACTTTCGAGACAGTTACAATTTTGCCCGTTGTTGCTTCTAGTTCCTTAGTCACCGGCCTTTTGGTTGTTTCTAGTTCCTTAGTCACCGGCCCTTTGGTTGTTTCTGGCTCCTTTGTTGTTGCTGCAAGCTTTGTAGTTTCCAGTTTTGAGACAGTTACAATTTTACCCGTTGTTGTTTCTAGTTCCTCAGTCACCGGCCCTTTGGTTGTTTCTGGCTCCTTTGTTGTTGCTGCAAGCTTTGTAGTTTCCATTTTTGAGACAGTTACAATTTTACCCGTTGTTGTTTCTAGTTCCTTAGTCACCGGCCCTTTGGTGGTTTCTAGTTCCTTAGTCACCGGCCCTTTGGTTGTTTCTGGCTCCTTTGTTGTTGCTGCAAGCTTTGTAGTTTCCACTTTCGAGACAGTTACAATTTTGCCCGTTGTTGCTTCTAGTTCCTTAGTCACCGGCCTTTTGGTTATTTCTAGTTCCTTAGTCACCGGCCCTTTGGTTGTTTCTGGCTCCTTTGTTGTTGCTGCAAGCTTTGTAGTTTCCAGTTTTGAGACAGTTATAATTTTACCCGTTGTTGTTTCTAGTTCCTTAGTCACCGGCCCTTTGGTTGTTTCTAGTTCCTTAGTCACTGGCCCTTTGGTTGTTTCTAGTTCCTTAGTCACCGGCCGTTTGGCTGTTTCTGGCTCCTTTGTTGTTGCTGCAAGCTTTGTAGTTTCCAGTTTTGAGACAGTTACAATTTTACCCGTTGTTGTTTCTAGTTCCTTAGTCACCGGCCCTTTGGTTGTTTCTAGTTCCTTAGTCACCGGCCCTTTGGTTGTTTCTGGCTCCTTTGTTGTTGCTGCAAGCTTTGTAGTTTCCAGTTTTGAGACAGTTACAATTTTGCCCGTTGTTGTTTCTAGTTCCTCAGTCACCGGCCCTTCGGTTGTTTCTGGCTCCTTTGTTGTTGCTGCAAGCTTTGTAGTTTCCAGTTTTGAGACAGTTATAATTTTACCCTTTGTTGTTTCTAGTTCCTTAGTCACCGGCCCTTTGGTTGTTTCTGGCTCCTTTGTATTTATTTCAACTTTTTCTGTTACAGAAGTTGTGAACGTTACGTTTTTCACTGGTATTATGGTAGGCGTAATGGGGTGGATTGTTCGCTCTTCGCAAACGTTCACAATAACAGTTTTTGGAGAGCAATGTTTCTTTATATACACCTTTTTCACAACAACTTTTGGCTTTTGTTTAGGCACCAGCACTTCTATTGGAACTTTGAGTAACTGCTTAACTTTCTCTTTTTTTGTTTTTCCCTCGCAACGTGGGCACTTTTTTTCGATAAAGACAGTAATACTAATGGTATAAAATATCTTCATTTTAACGAAGACTTTGTATTCTTGTTTCGATAAGTCGCAAGCACATTTATTTCTTGTCTTCCTGTATTTATTTACACTATGGGCGTCTCTTCTATAATCTCTGACGTAGTCTTGCGAAGAATACTCCTCCATTTGATCATCCTCTGACTCCACTCGGGATAAAATTTCGAAAAACCTTTTGCTGCTCATGCCTAGGAAAAGATAGATCCGAAATCATTAGTGATGCGTTTTGATAAGCGAAAATGTTTTTACTATTTGCTAAGGGTTCAAAAAATTGCGCTGACTGTTTGAAATGAACAAGCAAAAAAACTTAGAACATATTGCTGTCAATTCACAAGCTTGCGTTAAGTGGAGCTAACAGCACAAATAAACAACTTTTATAAAAAAATGCCATCGTTCCTAATACGGCAATGGTCCTTAATGGAACTTGCATTGTACGAAGCAACAGATCCACATCACCAGCCTAATAGTTTCACAATGTGCAAACTTCACGAATACCAATTGCTTGCTGCCGAGCAATTGGAAATAAAAGGAAATAGAGATAAAAGGAAAAGATTCTGAAAATTCAGAAAATTAAACTTCTTACGAAAATTATAATGCCATGGCTTTTCTGGAAAATATGGGAACTGATCTTGATGACAAGAGACACAAACAAGAGTTTTGATGACTTGTGACAAAAAGAGACACAAAGCTCTTTTGAAAAGAAAACGCGCTTCCTACCTTACAAATGCGAAAGAAGAGCTTTGGCTGCTTAAAAATGAATGTCCAAAGCAGTTTTGGAAAAATCTTTCAATGTCATCTTCCAGTAAATCGTCAATAGATTTTTCAAATGAGCAAATCTGTCTTTTTTAATGATCTTCTTAGTAAAAATACTCCTGTTTCTCCCCCTAAAAACCCAAGTCACTTTGCGGCTGCTGATGATTCCGATAACGACTTATTCACTCTTATACATTCTAAACTAAATGAACAAATTGATTTATTAGAAGTGAAGAATATGGTTGAAAAAATCAAATCTGGCAAAGCACCGGGTCTTGATTTGTTGAATGCTGAACTCTTCAAACATTTAAATGACCGTTATTTCACTCTCTTTGTTAAACTTTTCAATAAAATTCTAGATTCTGGTGACTTCCCAGAAGAATGGTCTGTAGATGTCATTGTTTTGCTTTTTAAAGGTGGTGACAAAAAATATCTTGACAACTATAGAGGGGTTACCTTGCTTAGCATTTTCGGAAAGCTTTTCTTGGGTATTCTTCTAAACCGCCTGAATCAGACAGTGGAAGAGTTTAACATTCTCAAGGAGAATCAAATTGCTTATAGAAAATCATATCGAACCTCCGATCACATTTTTATATTACCAACTTTGCAAGATAAGATCCAACTTTGCAAAACTACGTCTCAGTGCTCACAACCTCAGGATTGAAACAGGTAGATACGGGAAGAATCCTATTCCTAGGATTGATTAAAAAATGTCCGTATTGTCAATATTTTAATAAAACTGCTGTGGAGGACAAAATTCATTTTTCATTAGTTTGTCCCCATTAGTTTGTAACCTAAGTTTTTAAAGTTTAAATCATAAGAGAAAAGACAACCGATCATTTTAAGCCTTAGAAACATTCTGGTCCTATACAGCTGTTGAAACTTTTCGTTTTGTCAAACAACTTTCTTTCTGAAGTTTCATTACTATGGTTGGTACAGACGCATAGCAGTAAAGTTGTGCATGTTATGATAACAGCATGAAGTTTGGTACAAGTACACAATCCGATATGCTGAGATAGATTATATATATATCAAGCGTCAAAAATACCTTAAAAAGTTGTTCTTAGACTGGGGTACTGGTACCCAGTCCGCTTTTAGGTATAGCACTACAACAATTTAACTTTGCAAGTTGTAAAACTGGACTCTATTTCTCTGACATTATTTGACGTGCTGAATAAAATGGGATGCACAAACAGCTATAAAAATTCCAAAAAGCAATTTTTAGATTACTATACCTGTTCCCAGTCCTATACTGGTGGGTCTTTCACTTAAACTTTGTAACTATAGGGGTTATAGGTCTGCAACTTTGTTTCCTGGCATAATCTGAAATGCTAGATATAATCAAATGTAAAACTTCACCAAAGACTTTATTCAGGCTGAGGTACTAATACCTAGTCCATTGATGGTTTTTGCAATAAAACTTTCAACAGCCATAACTTTTTGCTTATATGTCAGATCACATAGCTCTTTTTGCATCTTTTGCTCAGTTTTGCAAGCTCTTTCTGATGGTATTGTCAAATTTGTAAAATTTGAAATTCAAAATTTTGCTGACCGTGCATTTTTCATGCTTCCGGAAACGCAACTTCCGGTCTATTGCCAGAATGTTACCAAGACTTATAATGATCAGTTGTCTTTCTCTTATGATTTAAACTTTAAAAACTTAGGTTAGGCAGGTTGCTAGATTTTTATGCAAAATTCCCTGTCTAATAGGTAAAAGGCTGCAAAATACCTCGAAATAGATGGAGACAAATGCTGTTATCGACATTTAATTTCAGCCTTCATTTTTCGAAATAATATTCTCCAGAGCTTAATGGCAGCAGCACGGGCGGAACTTGAGGGACACCTCTTTCCTCCCCCACCCCGTTCTTGGCACGATTAATTTTGCATTTCGTCTAAAATGGAGGGGTGATATTTTTGCAATCTGGAAACTGCCTCCTCGTAACCAAAAGTGGCAATTAAATCTTTCAAGTGTTTTGCTAAATTTTGGTCAGAAGCATCTCAATAGCATGAACTTTAGATTATAACGCGCCAGTTATCAATCTGTTATGGCCTCATCTATACCAAGGTCTTTGAGCACCCCTTGACAAACGAAAGTGTAACAAAATAGGTCGACATCAAAATCAAAAGCTTTAAACTGTCTTACCGTTTGCAGCGCGAACTAGAAATACAGCTATCACAAGGCAACATGGTGTAAACAAAATCCATTTCATGGTGGCTCAAAAATCGCAAAAAGCGAGCCGATCTGAGACAGGAAGTCTTCATATCATCGGGGTAGAACGTCTCTGGTCTGTAACCCTTAACAAAAGGGAAGATTTATTAATCATCAATTTGTGGTCTTGACTCAAAGAGTTTTCACTTTAGTTTTTAACAACAAAAAAGCCATGTCAAGCATGAAAATTTCCAGAAGAACTATTTGGGAATTAAGAACTGGACACAAAATATATTACAACTTAAGAATCTCCGTGACAACAGCTCGTAGCTCGTTAAGGTAGAAAGAAACTGAGACATGAAATAAAAGTGAATGGCGAAAGATAATTGTTTACTGTTTGTGCATAAAATTCATCATTGCGCTGAATATTGAATGCAGAAATTTCTTGCCTTCCTTTGCCCCTCCTCACGTTCACAAGGAAAACCGCAATGAAAACATTTGAACATTGGTAACAGAGGTAGAAATAAAGAGAAGTGTATTAATTTTAGAGTAACGAATGTGGTTGAAGGGGTTTTCTACAAAAATCTCAAAAGATAAGCAGTACAAAAACAGCTTTAAAGATTCATATTTCCAGCTCACTTAAAATACTAAACTAATTAATGGATGAGATGAGCTGAAGCTGGTTCAAAAATCTGGATCAAATATTGTTAGATATGGCATCATATTTCTTTTGTAATATCGACATAATATAGAATGTGCTATGCAATATTATCAACCAAGAAAAGCAGCCATGCGCGAATCCTAAAAGATTTTATTCTGACGTAAAAATAATCATGAGGGATATTTTAATATTTCGCGTGAAATATACAGTATGATTTCATGATGATGTCAGGGAGTGATCCTCGGTTAGAAATCCATCATCTGCACCCAGGGAGAGTGCAAACAATATTTACACATGAATTGTAGAGAACCATGCAAGCTAGTGTTGCAGTTTCTGCTTCGTTCGGACTAGTTTCCAGATTTTTCATAAGATACTGCCAACGTCCTTTTACTTGGCCATATGCACCCTCCACAATCAACGGAAACAAGAGGAGGAAAAGTAACATGTTTTCCATTTGATTGAGCTTGAGCGCAAAATCACCACTTTGTACTTCATGGTGTGGATTTTCCTTGAAGGTCCCCCCGCTCCCCCCGTCTGGAAACTAAGTGGGGATTTGGCAATACCCCTTTGAAGGAAAATTACTAGAACCCCTCGCGGTCCAAGACTTTACTTTTGAAGCCATATGGTTATTTTGGCATGTATGTAGTCAGGCACCCGTTCCACATGCACGAAACTAGTGCTTCGGTTACATATTTGACAATGGTCGACACACACGACTGACCAAGCCTGGCCATTTCTTCGATGATGGCACAGTAATCACCGCGGCCTATGCAGTACAAGCATAGCCCGATCTCGGGTAGGATTAGGTCTTCGGGTATGGATTCATGTTCTAGTTTGCGAGGAATTCGACAAAAAAAATTGTTCTTGTAAGATTCACAAATTGTCTTTTTGAGCCTCTCATCCGAATTATTGTCCCAAAAACGACCCCACAAACAACAGTTCCATGGTAACCTTCTACATAAAAGAATATTTTCCTTTCTATTCTGCGAAGCCAGTAACATATATTACAACCATGCACCTCACTATTGTGTTTTTAGTATAACCAAATTACATCTCTTATTAAACCAACCAAATATTATTAGATATTCTTTCCTTTTTATTTTTCATTCACATTCTTCTCTTTTAATCGCTATCAAAGTGTTCTTAGCCTTTATTTCATCACCTATACACGTCAAATCGGGCATATGACCTAGATAGCTCCTTGGGAGTTCTTTTCATATGTCCGACAGCAAAAAAAATAAAATATCCAGCTACCTACTGTATGTAGTTTTCCTTTTTGTAAAAAAATAATTGTTCTTTGTGGTTCATGTATTAAATAAAAATAAAGTAGTTAATTATTGCTGTGGATGAAACGTTTGGGTTTGTTTGAGTTGAATGACTAGAAGGCAGCAAGCTAGAATCAATTGCCTTCTTCTTGACATGGCTATTGCAAGGAAGTCAAACAATCTCAATTTATTATTTCGTTCTAAAATGTTCTTAATAATAAATGTTTTGTTGAATCAGTGCATGGAGGTGCCATTTTGATACAAGGAGTTGCACTGAAAACCGCGTCAGTTTCCAGTACTTCAGGTAGTATAATTGGTTCGACTTATTTAGTTCGAAATTTGATTCAGTAATTGATTCGATCTCCTCAGCACGTGTGGTGATGCTTGCTACAGTCGACTATGAGCTACAGCACACGGCAGGTTCCATGTTTGATATTGACCTAAGATTCTAGAAATTTCAGACATTCGCTGAAATGAAGCAAATTAGCCTATCAACTGCTACATGATGGTTGCTAAATGGTTTCCCTGTCAAGAACCATATATGCAAATAACCAATCATATTAAAGATCAAGATATCTATTTAATTTCTGAAAGAAGGAAGGTGATAACAATCTTCGAAGAAAGAAGTGGGTGAAGCGTTCCAAAGCTGAACAGCGTTTGTGAATTTGGCGATGAAGACGAAAGGGTGATCACGGGGAGAGTTTCTCATGTTTCCAACAGATCTTAAAGGAACAGGAATAACATCTCTAATTTATTGGGGGTAATTTCAATACAACATCATGCGTTCACAAGAATCCCAATGTAACCCGACGCGCTACAAGGCAATTTTATCTCACCCAGAGCGTACCGCATGAGAATGGCCTTAAACTGGCGAATACTGAGATCAGTCTTGGCCATCAACTTTGCGAATAAGCAAAAAAACATCATCAAAGTTTAAAACGGACTAGAAAATGAACATTTACACAGGCTTCTGTTCAAGTGTACAAACTTAATTTTCTAGTGTATCAAAGAATATTCGATGACACGTGTACCAAAAATCTAGCACATAAATTGGTCTGTCTTGGATTAGACACACGAGCTTCGGTCCTTGTCTCTGTTTCCCATTTGCCAGCCCCACGTTTAGTGGAACATAAGGTACTGACTCAAAATCTGAATTGTCTCATCGACTTGTATTTCACCATGCTCAAGCCTAAAAAAGATAGGAACAGCAAGATGATAGGAACAGCAAAGATAGGAACGAATTCTGCAGGGTTAAGATGATCGGGCAGGGTGTGAAAGTTAACAATTCGCGGCTTGAAGTAAAACCTTTCATATAATGGCCTGAAAAAAGCAAATATTCGGAAATAGGTGTAACATTTTCTTCTGAAACTCTTCAAAGTATTGTTAATTTTGGTACCACCAAAAACCTTTCTAATAATCTAAACCTATCAATGAAACGAAAAATTTCAAAATAATTAGGATTCCAGCACGACTTGTCAACTGTGACAAAATCTCATAAAATATGGAGAAAAACACAAAGGAAATTGCAGATACAAATTCTACTTAAACATTTTCAATATGCCTTTCAATAGATAACTCTACTTTGCTACAATTTATCAACATCGACACTTCTTCCTTACTCCCACGCCTCCTACCCCTACTCCCTCACCCCCTACTCCCTCACTCTCTTCTCCCTCACCCCATTCTCCCTTATCTCTACTCCCTCATCCTCAAATTCCGCACCCCTACTCCCTCATGCCCTATTCCCTCACCCCCTATACCCTCACCCCCTATTCCCTCATGCCCTACTCCCTCATCTCCTACTCCCACACACGCTACTCCCGCCCCTACTCCATCACCCACTTCTCCCTAACCCCCAACTCCCCCACCCCTACTCTCTCACACCCTACTCTCTCAAGATCGAATATTTGTTTGGCAGTGAAGCGTAACAAAGCTTGGACAACCTATTATCTTTTTCAGCATTAACATTGCATACCTTTTGGCATATTGGCTGGAAAAAAGTTTGATCTTCACTTGGACGAGTGGATAAACTGCTGAATAAATGATTTACCTTGCAAAGTCAATTTTCAGTTTTTTCAACTGTTCTTTTTCGGCGGGTGCAATTAACTCGTCCAGTTCTTCAAGAATTGCGTCCTGATTTTCTTCATTTTGACCAATGGCTGACAAAATTCTCTCAATCCTTTCATTTTTCTCTAATAAACGCCTTTAAATTTAAAGAATATCTATTAAATTGATTATTCAAAAACATTTCTTAATTAACATTGGTATAAATATCTGCATCCAAAAAGGCAAATCCTAGTTGCCATATAAAACGTAAGGTTTCGGCATAATTTCATCACACTTCAAAAAGAGAGAATACGTATAACGAAAGGAACACATCACAACTGCTGGATTCGTTGATAATAAGTTATCAACAGGAGTCTGTCTACCTTGCAAAATGCACATAACATTAATCATTTCATTCTTTCTCTTCGTATTTCACTTCTATCATTTCATTCCATGATTCATCCTTTCAACTGTTTGCTTACCGAGTCTTTAATTAAAAATGCATCAATTTCTTTTATTGTCCGTTGCATCTAATACATTTCACTGCAATTTATATCGATCGGCCCTAAAAGTCTAAATATCTTAAAACCGGCATCCTACTTTAATTTTTAAGTTCAAATGATTTATAATTGATATCAATTCAATAACACATACTTGTTTTCTGCCATCAGACTTTCTCTCTTCACGATCAAATTTGAAATTGCCTATGAGAATAAAATTCGTGCTGTTTAATAAAAAAACCAAAATAGAAACAAGCGTGTTGTAAAAAAGATTCAGCATTGGAGAATAGCTATGCAAATCAAAAAAGAGTAACGAACAAGTTGAAACAGTTTGTTTACATCCAGAAAACTTATGGTTGCCAAAAAGCCAAAACAGTTAAATAGATGCACATTGCAATACAATCATTAACAAAGATTTAAAAAAAATTTAAAATAGTAAAGATCTAAATGATTGCTGGGAACAATGCTGTAGGATGAGGGGAGCTTAAGAAAGGGGTAATACCTGGTAGGATCTGTTGAGAAGAAGTCTAGCAACTTGCGGTAAGTCAACAGAAAACAAATAGAACGTCCGCGAAGGAGCATAATCATTGTTTTTGGAAAGTTCCTGGAAAAGAGAGATTTGAAAGAACGCTTAAAATATAGAAGAAGAAAACAACTTTGGGCTTCTTCGTAGCGCATGACCCAAAATCCATAAAGAATTTTGATGATATAATATTATTCTAAGGACATATAAAGTTGTTTATGAACTTTTATGGACAGTAAATTTGACAGAATATTCATATATACAATTCAAAATAATTCCAAAATTTTTCAGACAAGGACAGAAAATAAATCGACAACGGATTAGGGTATCAAAGTAAACAGTTTTTTTAAAAATATTACAACATTAGATTATTGATGAGTCACCATTTAGCATACGATTAGAAGCAATGCCATTCTTTTCGATGTGAAAGGAATCTTCAGTCATTCCTTGAGGCCTAGCACTGGATAGGTTGATGTTGGTCAATAGCTCAAAAGCATCAAAACTATCGAGTTTGAAACACAGGAGACCGATTTCAAAAGAGGTCATTGTCTGTTACTGGATAAGAAAGGCTAAGTGTGATAGGGCAACGATTGTTACCTGAAGGCAAACCAGTTTCTCTTGAAACATTTTATACAGCAGTTCTTTCGTTTCTTTGAAAGGAATCATTGCAAGCTCTTCAATCTAAAATAAGAGTAAATTGGGTACAGCTGAATTCAACCAGGTGATTCCTGCTGATGGTCCGAAGACCATCACCATTTGCAATGTGATGAACACATTGCCACAATGCATTGCCACAATGCATTGCCACATTAGTAGGTAATAGTGATATCTTTCAAGTCCTCAAAGAAAGCAAATGCCTCCTTCGACTGCTAGTTTTAAACAAAACTGCCCGAAAATAATAATTAAGAAAGCTTTATGACATCCATATGAGATGAAAATTTCAAGGTATCTTGTGAATACATGTGATCAATAAAGATGTGATCAATTTCTGGTTCGTAGCCACCTGGCACGGAAAACCATCTTACACAACAATTGAAGGGTTTAGAAGATTAAGCGACTATCTTTATTAAAGGAATACTGTTACACAATGTATCATAAAACAACTTTCATAAAGGAGAAAATTTTTGAGAAAAGAACTTTTTTAATAGCAAGAATGAAATATTTCTCATTGACATTCACCATCAATTCTATCGTCAACATGTACCAAATTTAGAATTGCGAATGAAGGACTGTCGCAGCACAAAACTCACTTGCTTCTGTTCCAAGTTCTTCTTCATGAGTAGCAGACGAAATATTCTACAAGCTTTGCTTCCAAGTCTATCAAAATAGATCGAAATACTGAAGTGTGCATTTTGGATATTGCTATGCAGGAAAATAGATTTTGAATGTCACCATACTAATCAAAAGGAAAGTTGAAATGCATAAAAAAATATGTTCCCGTTTCAATTGGCTTGTATGCAATGCCTGTAACCCGTTTCAATTGGCATAAGATGTTCGTTTTGGAAAATAAAACGACTCACCTTTCTTGCACCACTGTTTCAATCGTGTATTGACACAGGGTGTCAACACTCTTTTTCAAATCTGTCTTTGGGTTAAGGAGACTGAGCAGATACATGACAGCATGAGCGCAAGCGGTACTTTAGGAGCTATTTCGGGTCCAGACCAAAAGATTTCGCTTAAAGGCGGTCTGTCCCCCATTTTTCTCAGAATCTCTTTTTAATGGCCATGATATTTATGCATCATTGGTTGAATGTACAAATAACCAAGTTGAATGAAGAACCACCATAGTGTACTTTCCCTGAGCGAGTTGCTGTGAATTTTGTTTTGGTTTTAAACGTCTAAGTCAGTTTCGATTTCATAAAGATTAGGCATTTTTGTCGTGTTCACCAACAAAAACTAATGTCGGGTGCTAAAAAGGCAGAGGAGGACCCTCTTTTAAGGCGAGGCTTTAAAGTTAGGATTAGCCAATCACGGAGGAGACAGATTGTCTTTAATAAGGTTAGTTTTGCATTGCACAACATGCAACCAAAAATAACAATCAAAGTAACCAGTGGCGGCTGGCACGAAAATAAGACGGTACTAGTAAAGCAAAATAAATTTTAGCAGAGCGAACCAGCTAGAGGCGGGGTGGCACAAGGGCGTGGTCTCTGGAAAATATTTGATTTTATACCTAATATGGCTAAATTGTCTTTTGATGGCGGGTCAGAAGCTTTCATACAATACCTCCGTTTGTTTTACGTCATGTGATATTGCCAGCTGCATGGGTTAAATGGTCTCGCAGCATTTTATCACTAGAAATAGGAATCTAGTACTGCGAGCGACTTTTTCATTGTTGGATTGTCGAAAGACAAACGGTTTTACGTCACGTTGAGTCACAAATGACAATGAAACAGACTTATGCAGTATTGGATGAATGAGGTCTAGTACCGTGGTGTACATAAAGGGCTTATTCAATGCCAATCTATCAATGAGAATTAAGATAAGGAGGGTCAGAATTAAGATATGGTGTATTCCGCTGCTCTTCGCTTTTTTGTCATTAATTCAAAACATTTCAAGCTTTCCAAATAAAATAATTCTAGATAGTACCGCTAGTACCGCTGCAAGCCGCCAGTGAAAGTAACTGATGAAAAAAACATTTGTGCCTGAGTTGCCCTAAAAGATATGTAAACAAAAAATCATGCAATTATGGAAGTACAAGGGTGCCTTTCTGAGCTCCATTGAAAACGTTTAAACGTGAAAGTCAAGGCTGTATTTAGACCATAAAATTTAAGCTACAAGTAGTATAGGTGTTTCCAATCATTAAAAAATGCCATCTTATAATACTAATAATCTTACTTTACAACGCAGATAGCAACGTTATATAAATATATATAGAAAACGTGAAGCTGGTTTCAAAATTGAGCGTCTAAAAAGACAGTTTAGTTGCCAAGATTTATCCTTGTCAAAACTCACCCAAAACGACTTTTTCTATGTGGAATTATTTTTATTTTTGTGATCTAATGAATTTTGGGTATGCTAAAAATTTAAAACGTTTTGTGACGCGGTGCTAGTAAGCAAGACTTGCACAAATTGAAGCTGATAAAACATAAAATAAAAAGAAGATGATCAATGGTTCATGCGATACGAACGTCATTGGAATCTCGCTTTCTTCACGAAATTCCCATGGGACTCTGTTTCCTGACATTTGCTGCAGGACTAAACATATGAAAGGATACCAACACAGTAAGTGCCGCCTCCACTGTCGTCAGTCTTTGTAACAAATCCACCCCGCTACAATCAAAAAGGGTAATTTTTCATACCTTTTTCATGCTAACGAAATAAGTCATAGATTTGTCAGTCGTAGATTTGTCAGTTCATATTTGAAGATAAAAGATCAGGATTGCCACAATAAGAAACAATAACATGATAAACCTCGTTTTTAATCCCATCTCTCTTAGAATCACATCCCAAAGACATCAAATAAGAATGTTTATGAATCTATTCATGGCATGAAATAGCTGAAACACGAAATATTACGCTTGTTTAACAGTACTCCAATACAAAACAATACATTACGATACAATATGATATAATACGATACGATACGATAAGATACGATACAAGACGACAGAACACAACACCACACAACACAACACACACAACACAAAACAACACAACACAACACAACACAGCACAACACAACACAACACAACACAACACAACACAATACACTACAACACAACACAACACAACACAACACAACACAACAAAACACAACACAGCACAACACCACACAACACAACACACACAACACAAAACAACACAACACAACACAACACCACACAACACAACACAAAACAACACAACACCACACAACACAACACAACACAACACAACACAACAAAACACAACACAACACAGCACAACACCACACAACACAACACACACAACCCAAAACAACACAACACAACACAACACAACACAACACAACACAACACCACACAACACAAAACAACACAACACCACACAACACAACACAACACAACAAAACACAACACCACACAACACAACACACACAACACAAAACAACACAACACCACACAACACAACACAACACAACACAACACAGTACAACACAACACAACACAACACAACACAACACAACACAACACAACACAACACAACACAACACAACAAAACACATCTTCTTTAGATAGCATTGTAAAAGATGACATACCTTCTTATCGGACAACAGTTGTAAATACTGTGACAGCTCCTGTTGCGTCATCACGGGCAATGCTGGGAGCTTTCTTTCGATCTGACAAGAGAAGCTCATTAGCTTGTGCAGACATGAATTTACAGACATTCAAAACTTGGTTTGCCTAAGGAAATTTTGCCATAGCTTTATTTACTCTTTTGTCTAGAGCACGATGGGCCTCATTGAGACTGCTGCTGCCGATGCAATTAAATTCCATAAAGAAACATGGCTTACCTCATAAACAGGAAAACTTTTTGTCGAGTCTGCCGATAAATTTCTATCCATTTCTGATTCCTTTAACATTGTTCTAATAACTGAACCTGCACTCTGAAAAATTATAAAAATTATATCTTTTTGTAGCCAATGTTTATTCTGTAATAGATAAAGATTTTAGCCATAAAAAATAGCAAAATGATTTTTCTATAAAAATCTCGAAGCAAAACCTAGAAAATCGTCAGATAATCCAAAAATGCCAGTCCGGCATAAATGCAAAACCGGTTTAAGGTTTGACTTAAATCATTGCTTTAATTTTTCCTTCAATAAAAATTCAACATGACGTGAAAATCTTCGTACATAGATTTTTGAAAATTACTATTTCATGCCCTGTTAAATTGAAATAGATTACCTGGTCTATTTTTTCTGCAATGGCTGATTGGAGAAGCTACAAAAAATACGAGCGCTTAAAATAGACATCGAATGAAAATTTTGAATGAATGGATGAATTCTAGCATGAATGAAAAGTGTGGGTGTTCATAGATTTAATACAGCCCATATTGGCATCGAATTTTCGTTAATTCATCTAGCGAATTTTAAAATCATAACATTTATATGTATACTTTTAAAAATTGTTGAATGTATCTAAGTGCATAACGTCAATGTACAAAAACACCCACCTGATCGAACATGTGCTGGTGGAATCGTTCAAAATTCACATGCCAATATATTCCATCGTCAGGATATTTTTCCTTAAAATAATAAAATAATGGTTCAGTAATGAAAAGAATAGATTTCAGGCTAAAGATTACCTAAAATAGATTTTCGGCCTTCGTATGTTTCTTTCATGGGTCCAAGTTACTGGTATTCTTTTCCAATTCTTTCACCTTAGCGCGTTTTCTAAAAACGCATTCCTTCTGTCTATCAGCGCTATCAAACTATCTTTACTGTTCATCTTGCTTTATACCCATTCACTTGCTTTCTCCGTACCCATGTGGCATGAAATATTCGATGGTATCACAAGTTCGATCCCATTGATTTTAGTTTCATCTCCATTTGCAAGTACAATAAATTTGGTACAAAGCTGACAATATTTAATGCCAATGGGTGACATCATATCTTTTGTTGACAAAGAAACACTTTCCTCTCTCCAAACATAATCGAAGGAAATCATAGCAAATTTAGCGATATTCAGTCTTCTTTTTATCATCGTTATCACTTGTTATCAAAGACCAAAGCTTTACAAAATCTTTAAAAAGGTCGATCTTTTATGTGACCATTCATTGTTATATGTTTATTCGTTATAGGTTGTGTTTCAGCAGATCTTCGCAGAAAATTGTCTTCACTGGAGTTTCACAGGCATTAAGTGTACTCCCGTACGTATTAGGCATCATTTACTCTGTACATCGAATCCTGGTATTCTGCCATACCCGAAGCTATGTGATAATTCTCCCCCCAACTTTGTCACTACCAACAAAATCTACACTCTAAACTATTTGTGCGTAGTAGATATTAAGAAGGCTATTACTTGTCTAACACCATGTGCATGATAGCGGCAGGCTATGTATCGTTCCTACTACTCTACTGTCCATTGTGCAGTTAACTATGTTTAACAATGTCTAAAATCCCAGATCAGAAGTTCGTGTGGTATATTTCCTTCTACTTCCATTTTAAGTTCACAGGCGATTATCAAAAGATTACTTTTCTGTGGTGACGAATAAATGCCTTCCCCAACTGCTGCTGCTGCCTTGTTACAAATCGCCCTTTTTCGGTATTAGAATAAAATTTATTTGATCCACCCATACAGCCATGGATTTTATTCCATTGATAGTGCAGAACTTGTGAAAATAGGACTAAATATCCTCCTGTGTTAATATAATCAAGAACTAGCGTTAACATAATTAATAAAGAGACAAAGTGTATGACAAACTAAATTACATACTTACATTTCCCATACTTTCAATTTCGCTGAAAAAAACACAGCAATAGTATAAAAAAGTAAATATCGAAATTTGCTCAAAAAAATTAATCCTGCTTCCTGGAGGTGAAAACAGTTGCATAAAATAAAGAGTATCTAAAGAAAAACGATAGAAAATATTCTAATGAAGAAGTACTTTGAAACAAGACATAAGGAACTGTAACACTGACTCGCTGATCTCAAAATAAGAAGGTTGTAGGCGTAATAAGAAGAAATGATTAGGCATAATGAAGGATCAGCTAGTTTTCTAGCTCACCTCGATTCTGATTTGTGTTTTTTGGATGGAGGCTCGTCTGCAGCATCTTTAGTTTCCTTCCTTTTTGAGCCAATACCTAAAAGAATGGAACTTGAATTCCTAAAAATCCATCTAGCATTGAAAATTATTGATTTTATGCAGTATTTTGAAAAATCTGCATTACAACTCTTCTGTCAAATCTCAACTCGTCTTGTCATTAACTATGACACGCAATTCGGTTTAAAAGATAAAATACTCTATGCGATGTTAAAACTGACTAGCACACTATGAGCAGGTATAGTGCATCTACCTAATAAATACAGCAGCAAAAATATGAGTATACGAATAAAAGATGGTCAAAAAATATTCATTCTAACATACTTAGTAAAATACCGGGAGGAACAGAATAGGCTTCTGTTTCAGTTATTATCTGCCTTCTTTCTTCATCTTCAGAGCTTTCATTTGAATCGCGTGGCAATGCTAGTCTTTTTAAAAAACGGCCTTTTATCAGTTCAACGCATTTTTGATAAACTAAATTTGTATCTGGTTTCTTCCCTGCCTGCTCATTATCGGACAACAGTCTTTCAGCAACTTTTGATACAACTTTACTAAGAATTTCTGCACCATCCATTAACATTGTTTCCACTATCAATTCCGCGGCATCCCCATACAAAATCTTCGCATTATAAACAAACTTTGAAAACCGTGATCTCAAAAGAATGACATCTACATCTGCTTTGTATGTAGTGGGCATCTTTTTATTCTCCTCAAAAGTGATCAGTTTATGTTTGATACCAATACTAAGACACTGTTTTACCTGCAAGAAAAACTGTTGTTTAAATAGACAGAAAGCTTACCTAATAAAAAGGGTGGATGGGGGTGGCTAAAAGAAGACAATCACTTGCAAAGGGAAGCTTAGACAATGAAATGCCTTCCCTTGGCAAAAGGAAAGATTACATTCTATACCAAATCAAACCAGGTTTTAGAAAAAAAAATATTATTTCTTGAAGAAAAAATGTATTAACAGGAAACATAGAAGTATTTCTGGTCATGTAAGTGTGACCCTCTTACCAAAAGATGAAACTCCCCCTTTGTAAGACATTCTTTATAAATTTTTAACCCAGTATCGCTTTCGAATTGGCTTAAAAAAATTTGCCTGGTGGAAATCAAAATTTGAATTTGAGAGAAAAATTTGCAACCAAAAAAATTGTGGTGAAAAATTTGCTGATTCAGGAAACTAAAGGAATTTTGTAGGAAACATAAAACATAGATGACAGATTTGATTCAATTTCACCAACTTTATAACATCTTTATATAATAATTTCCATGTCTACAAACAGGTAGATAATTATTCATATAACAAGATGCTTAACTAATAGCTAAACGTCTGATTATCTACTTTCCCAGCACACTTCTTAACACACTTTGCATCATGGTTTTTCATACTCTGATAAGGTTGAGGGTGCTAATTTCACATTGCTCTTGCAATATGCCACAGCATCAATATAAAGTTCTCAACAGTCATACCACTGTTGAATTCTAGTATAGAGGAGGCAATGATGGCACCATTAAGATCGTTTCTTACAAACATAAAATATGCAAAAGATGACAAACATGCATGTTTTTTCCTAATGAAGATCTGTTTTTTGCATAAATCAATGTAAATAGTCCCTGCGGTGAACTTGCTGTATATGAAAACAAAATTATTTCAGCTACAGGTCAGGTGGAGAATTTAAAAAAGAATCTAGAGTTGTAAAAATAGTTTACTTCTTCAAGAACTGTTTCATCAAAAACAACACATCCTTCCTTTGATCATAGATGACAAAATTGTCTTCGAAAACTGTCTTTTGCAAGAGTCCTAAGGAGTTAACCTTTTCAACCAAATCATAATACAATGTGATTTCTTATAGAATCTTGAAACATTTTGCTGCTAGCATGTTCTTCTCTTTCAATGCGTTTTTGCCCTTCTCACAATTTTCTACAAGACTTTACTTTACAGTTTTTTTGCATGGGGAACACCAGACTCAAATTTGCAGAAAGCAAAGGTTTTGTGAGAAATTGTGTGCAGAATTGGTAGCAAAGGCTTCAAGGAATTGATGGAATCAGAAAGGAATCATGGCAGAGTAATTTTGCCTCAAAGCAAAAATAAATGATTGAAAATTAAATCTAAGCTTTCCTACAACTGCAATCAGTTTATGTATTCAAATTCCTATGGGTTTAGCAAGCAAAGGAATAATTTTAGAAGAATTTCCAAAAAGCTACAAACATTATAATCCTTATTGATGATCTCAAGCAGGGTCACCAAAAGGGGGACAGGGTGCAAAGCACCCCAGGACCTTAGGTCTAGAGAGCCCCTAAAAGGGCTTGTTTAAAATGGTAAATCGATTCAGAGGAATGCAAGAAAATGACTGTAAGAATTATTCTGAACTTTAAGCTAAATTCAAAGCAAGGTTGCAAAAATTTCTGCTCCCTTCACTTGCAGAACCACATCTTCCAGCTTTGCTCTTGGGCTCAGAACCTTCTTGACAGTTCTGATCTCAAGAGGATCACTTGAATCAGACACAATTTCAATCACTTTGTAAACAAAGTTAGATAATATTTTACGACCTATAACAAAATCTGTGAAAAATTAAGCCACATGCAAAGCCATGCCCAAGCCATGCCCAAGCCATGCCCAAGCCATGCCCAAGCCATGCCCAAGCCATGCCCAAGCCATGCCCAAGCCATGCCCAAGCCATGCCCAGCGCTTTGATGTGCAAGAGATTAATCATAATTTTACAAAACTTTCTCAGGAGTAGGGTCACATCGCCCTGATTGAGTATACTTAGATACAAATTAAAAATTTTCTATTTCGCATAGACTTAGACACAAAACTTGGCACTGACAAAATCCTTCAGGCTCTTCAGATATATATTTCAAAAGATCAGGAAATTGGTTTTACAAAGTTTCTTGAAAAAGCTGCCATACTTCTTAGTTGTCTCGATGGCCTAAATTTCTGGCGTCGCCCTGATTGGGCATGTTTCCCAAATGTAAATATTAGCACGCACGAAAAAAAAATTGAAAAGAAAATAAATGATTTAACACTTGCAAACATCTTTAAAACATCCTTGCATGCCAATGTTTCACTGAATTTTTTTTATCCGCCGATCTGGTGCATACAAGATTGCCGCTTTCGCAAGAGTCAAAACAAGGGGAAAATTAACAGCTTTGACAAAGTGCAATATTTTAGCTGAAAATTGTATTCAACATGTATCAAATTTGCTCTAGAGTATTTTTGTTTAAAGATATTTGACAATTTGAAATTTACAGGTTTCTTTTTTAAAAGTAATGCGAAACAACTACCAAACTAAAATAGCCGTTCCCTTAGACCAAGTCAGTCAGCTTTATTTCACTCCTCTCTGTGGCAAAACAAATTGAGAACTGAGTGATTTATGCCAAGATCCTTACTCCTCATGCATGATATGTGCCTAAGAAAAATGGCAGACATTTACTCATTGTTTCAGGTGAGTCATTTTCTTGTCCAATTATTCATTCGTCGATTGAGTAATTGAGTGCAAAATTTTTTCTTAACTTTGATAAGTGGTTTCGCGCTTTCGCCTTTTATACACATGATTTCGCTTTTTTTTGTCATAATCTCCCAATTTTTCTTGCAATAGCTTAAGCGATGTAAATATCACGTTTCTAGGTACATACTTAATCAGGGCGACGCAACCCTAGATGCCATAATACACTTATGTGACAAAAGTATTAGGATGATGAATAACAAAATGGTGTCTCCAAAACTAGCATTCTAACATTGATTAAACAAATCTTGCTGTTTTGATGGGGTTCTAGAAATGGCGTCAGCAAAAACACAATTCCTAGCAAATTCAGTTTATTTCCAATTTTTCTATGATAGAAAAGTAACAAAATGTAAGGGAGAAATGGAAGCGAAAATGGTAGCGACAAAAAAGGAAACGAGAAGCAATGGAATATTTGGGTCTAGCGTTTCATTTGTTTGCTGAAACTGCAATAAAGTTTGGTTGCAGCAAGTATACAACGCATATTACTTACAAGAACAGTAAGTTAACAAGACTGACTAAAATTCAAAAATGGTAGGCCAGGACAGGCAAACTATTGGTTGGGCATAATGGCATCGGCAACCTGGCATTGTGTGTGAAGACAATCAAAGCTGAATAATTTGTCCAATTATTTGTGGAAAGTCCCCTGGCAAGTACAAAAACAAGTAATGGTTCTTTGCAAAGACCATTTATATTTAAGCAAAACAACAAACCTAGTTTACTGCAATTGTGACAAAAATTTCAAAAATTAATAGCATCATGGTCTTTCAATAACCCCTTCAAAGTCAAAACCTTAATGTAATTGAAAACAACTGGTTTTCTTTAAAAAAAATACAGAAATGGAATCTTTTTTAAATGGCTTAAAAAATGACTTAAATATGCCACTTTCCACCAAATACAAGGCCATCTATCATCGACTTGGTTCTCCAACGCCTAAATGTGATCTTTCAAATGTTTTTCTGAACTTATCATGTCTCGATTAACAGAACCTGCTACTAAACTTTTTGATAAAGTTTTAGCAAGTCTCACAAAGGTTTCAAAGCTGAAAGGCTGTCAAATAAAAAGTTAAATTTTTTTATTTTTAAAAAGGTAACTTTTTTAAACTTTTAAATTAAAAGTGCTGTCAATGGTTTGAAGTTTGGTTTGGTTGGTTATTAACTATAAAAAGACGCCTTACGGCTTCACAAAAGTGGTTTCAATATCGACCGCCTTGCTGTTGACAATGCGGTCGCCATAACTCCTTTGTCGAACCTGTGCAATACTTTTGCTCACTAAGTGTATGGAGTGGAGTCCAAACTAAGATGTGAAATAAAAAAACACTTAGCTTACCATATTTCTCTCCATGTTTGTACCTAGAACAATATCTTTTAAATTTCTACGACCTTTATGAAGAAGGTAAATAATAATCCTCTCAACATTTTCGCCAAAATGGTCTCTAATTATGAGCCCTGCTAGGCAAACCTGTATGCCCGACATTTTGTTTTCGTTCACGTTTTGCCATCCGTGCATGTTGAATTGAATTATTCTCCCTTTCAAGTAGCCTCCCATTTTGGAGCTGAGAAATAATGGCCTCAGAAGTGAAAGCTGTGGGAATAATCATATTTCGTTGTTTAACAAAAAATAACACCTTTCAATACCTACTGCTCCGGCATTCTTATGGTGAAAAGCATTGGACGCCACCCAAAGGACATGTTGATCCCGGAGAAGATGAAATAACTGCTGCTATTAGGGAAACTCAAGAAGAATGTGGACTGGGCCCCAAAGAGTATACTTTCGTTGATGGTTTCAAACATACGCTGTTTTATCAAGCTTGGGGTAGAAATAAGGCAGTTCATTATTGGTTGGCTAAAGTTAATGATAATGACTGTACTATAAAGTTGTCACATGAGCATCAGGACTTTAAATGGCTGGCACTCAGTGATGCATGTGACCTTGTTGGTTACAAAGACACACAGAGCCTTTTAATGACTGCAGAGTCTTTCCTACTTAAGGAGAAGTAATCTAATGTATTTAGAAAAGGGTGCAATTTCAATCATTTCATCAAGTTGATTTATAACAGTGAAATCAAAATGCAAGTAGAAGAATGTTTTAGTGTTGAGAAAATTTCAAATGATTTGTTCCTAATTAGGGAAACCTTGTATTTTTCTGGTAATATTTGCAATATCTGGCTGTCAAAAGGATCCCATTTGGATGTTGTAATTGACACAGGTCTTGGAGTTTGGGATCTGCCATGGTTCTTAAAATCACAGAATCTTATTGGAGAGAAACCAGTAATGACAGTAGCAACACATGTTCATTTTGATCACATAGGAGGGTTGCATCAGTTTGCCAATACAGCTATTCATGCAGATGAATTTGATGATATGACTGAAGCAAATGGAGTCAGCATGGTGACATATTTGAAAGACTGTCAAGTGATGCCTGAAGCACAAGGATATTTTGATGTTAGATGTTTCAAAGTAAAAGCAGTGACTCCAACAAAAGCTTTAAATGATGGTGATCTCATTGATCAAGGAGATAAACAGTTAGAAATCTTGCATCTCCCAGGTCATTCCAAGGGGAGCATTGCTCTTTTTGATAGAAAGAATGGTCATTTGTTCTCTGGTGATGTAATTTATGATGGAATGCTGATTGATTTTTTGCCAGGAAGTTCAGTCAGTGATTATGTGCTCTCCTGTCTGCGTTTGAAAGAAATTGCCCCAAAGGTAAACAGGGTCTTTCCAGGCCATTTCAGGCCTCTAAGCAGTGAAGAGATGGTGTCATTAGCAGACAGTTATCTTATTTATGCTGAAAGATCCTTGTATAAGTGGAAGCAAAGCTGCTTGCAAGGTGTCCTTACAGCTGCATTCAAAGGAAGAGAGACAAGAAATAAACTGTATAACTCTCTATATTATGGCTGTTGCTGTTTCTTTGTGATTTAACAACTGTGATATAAACATTATTTGTTCTAAGTTCAAAATAAACCTTTATGGATAGGTTTGGAGGTGTCTCTTAATGACAATTATCTGTAAAGTACTATTATTTGCTTCTGATTTTTTGTGTTAGAAATACTGTTGAATTATTGGTCAAAACGGTGCTTCAAAGTTTTTTATTTTTCTTAAAGACATTGTTGATTGTTGTTTCAATTCTTTTTACATCTCATTGTTACCTATCTTGAGATCATAAACAAACAATTAGTGTTTCAGCCTGTTATTTTGTTCATACTTTCTTCCCGAGTATAAGCCATTTCTCAATAATTTGTGGTGAATTTTGATCATTTAATGCATTCTTGGAGGCTGCAGCCCTTGTTCTCCTTCTCCCAGTAGGCTTATGGTCTGTATTTTACTCATGATAAACAGCAAAAACCATTGCAACTGCAAACAATTCTTTATTTTGGAAACTCTCACTAACATAAGTGTCTATTTGGTTGTTCCATAATGACCTACTCACAACTCTTACATCTTGTCCCAAATTCTGTCCAATATTTACAATGCATGCAAACTTGTATCTTTCGTAATCTAATATTTTCAACTGATACAAAATGTAATCTGAAAGGTTTTTGCTCAAATTCCTACACCTATTCACATCATAACTCTCTGATTCAAGGAAATGAAAACTGTCTCTCGAAATTCTTTTAACTTCAGTCACATCAATCTTCCTATCAGGATCAAGTGACGGTGTTTGAAGGCCTGGTATGTAATGCTGTGCAAATTCTGGTGTCACACTTGCTGGAACTAAAGAAGAACGTCTACTGCTGCTTGGTGATAGTGCAAATTTTCCAACACTTATCAAAGAGCTTGGGGTGGGGGAGGCAGATCTATAAATACTGTCTATTACTGGTTCATCAAAATGGGACAAAGTGAAAAGTCCAGGATCTTCCAACTCTTTTTTGTATTGCTCAATGTCAAAAATACTGTTTTTGAAGTCATGAGGCTTTTCTTTTCCATGAAAAATGGGGCTAGATGTTTTGAGCTCATACGGTGATTTCTGATTGATTGGAAGCTCAACTGGATCATTGTTGGACTCGATGTCAAATATGCTTTTGAAGCTTTCTCCGTCTGCTCTTGAATGGGAAGAATCTGGTTGGACAAATCGTGGTTTTGTTAGCGCCATTGATGTGCTTTTTAACAAACAAACTTCTAATGCGGAGTTGTCTGTAAAATATCCTAAAATTTGCTGATTAATCGAGTTTTTTGAACTTTTGACTTGAAAAGGTTTCCCAGTATCTGACCTCTTGTGTATTTGGGCAGATAAAACAGTCTCAAATTCAGTGTGCTTTTCTCCAGGTTTCTGCAATGGATACTCAAATAAGACTGGTACCACTTCCTTCTTAATGATTATCCACTTCAGCCGATATCCAAATCAAACGTTTTGCAGCAATATGAACATCAATTTCCAATGTTTTTTATTCATTGATTTTACGCTAATAATGTTCTGCAGTTCTTGCTGTAATGAAACTATGCATTGATGTGATATCAGTCAGTAGCTATGCAGAATTCTTATTTGCTTACAACAATACATAGAAACTAGCTAGATAAAAAGGCGATATCCGACTCCCCCGGCAAAAAATCGAGTATCTGCTACACAGCTTTGCCATTTAGAAGAACACCCATTCCCTAGCAATGGATAAAACGGGTGTCATTTCAACAGAATGACTTCTAAAAACAGCTATTGTCTACATTGAAGTGTTTTGGGGTGTATTTCTATGGCGAGAAGAATCTACAAAGAATATAAATTCAGAAATTCACCAGGTACCTGCAATGACCGTTAGTGAAATGATTCAACAGCGAGTAAAAACGCCTTGGTCAAACAAGCAATATGGTTAACATACGGAGATAAGCTGTCAAATTAAGCTAACGTTCTTCAAACAGATGGCGTTTTGTTTCGCAACAGTTCAGTGGTTCTATGTGAAACATCTAGCAGAACCTGCCAAATTTAAGACTGATGGCAACCATTAGACTGCACGGTAGAAATAATTTGAATCTAATCGCCACACAGCAAAATGTTTCCCGCTTCTATTTTAGAGTAAATAGCTGCTCCAGTTAGAAGATAATGCATATTTGACATAGGCTTGTTACAAATGAGAGATTTGAATACCAAAGATGTTTGAAATTGAGCATTTAGACAACTGAAAATTAAAAATTTATGAGCTAATGGTTTTTGTAAATGAATTATACTTTGCTGATGATGTTGCTCTCCTAAAATCCCGTAAAGAGGAATTTAATTAAAAAACCTGCGAAAAAGTCAGAGTTTTTTTTATAGAAAACAGCTTTTATTATTCAAACATTCGAATATTCACAGCAAAGTTTCTTTGTGAATATAGAATGCTTATTATAATAATTCTCAAGCTGCTGGAAGACTCAGTATTCAGACCAATTCAAATGGCTTTATTTATCATAGCTAAGCACAGAAAACTAAACATTGACGCTGCCTCGATAATGAGCAAGCTGCTTCCATGTACGGCAACATGGCCTTTCGTCACCTTGGTCCAACCAACCGTCAAGAATAAAGTCTTCAGTATTGGGGCACCAAGAGATATATTAGCATTTCATTTATAAAATCATTTCATTAAAGAAAGTGATTTTGAAATGATAGAATACCTCAAACCAGAATTTTTCACACAGAGTAAAAAATCCTCAAAAATTCAAACTAGATCAACCATACTGAACCCATCAATTTTGATATCTCCTCTCTTAGTACAAAACAATTAATGGGAGACACACTAAGAATACGATAACATGATACAATACGTCACATCGAGCGCGAATAAAGAAAAATATTTACACAGCTTAGTATCTACAAAGAAATTCTTCGAGTTTCTCTTAACTGTTTGCTTTTTCTGCAGGCTCTCTCACCAAACTCAGCAGCTTTTCCATCTTAGCAACCTCGTTTTCCGGCCCTTTTGCTTTTTCCTGATTAATTAATACCAAAAAATGAATTAAAGGCCTCGTATGAAAAACAGATATTACTTGGAAAATTGACAGAATAACGCCCTTCAAACAAAACTGCAAAATGTCAAACTAAATGGTAAATAATGATGAAAAATGATTCTTTAATGCTGACAAAAAAATCAAGTGGTGAGTGTGTAGAGTTGCCTTTGTTACCACTATGAAAGAGTGCCGATAACAGATTTCAACACAGCAATAACAAATACTGAAGATTTGATTGTTTAAAAGCAAAATATATTTTTACCTTGGGGTGTGTGGCTTTTCTCAAATTTGGCGACAACTTCAGAGATGTGACGTAGCCCCTATAAAGAATGACGCTGCATTAAGCTGTGTTGGCAAAAAAATTGAAAACAGGTTTTGGCAATATGGTCAAAGATTATGTCAGTCGATGTAAAAGAACTAGTTAAAAGGTTAAAAACAGATTTTGAAGGGTAACAGAAAGCTAAACAGTTGAAATTTGAGATGGCAGGCTTTTGCAATATGGTCAAAGATTATGTCAGTCGATGTAAAAGAACTAGTTAAAAGGTTAAAAACAGATTTTGAAGGGTAACAGAAAGCTAAACAGTTGAAATTTGAGATGGCAGGCTTTTGCAATATGGTCAAAGATTATGTCAGTCGATGTAAAAGAACTAGTTAAAAGGTTAAAAACAGATTTTGAAGGGTATCAGAAAGCTAAACAGTTGAAATTTGAGATGGCAGGCTTTTGCAATATGGTCAAAGATTATGTCAGTCGATGTAAAAGAACTAGTTAAAAGGTTAAAAACAGATTTTGAAGGGTAACAGAAAGCTAAACAGTTGAAATTTGAGATGGCAGGCTTTTGCAATATGGTCAAAGATTATGTCAGTCGATGTAAAAGAACTAGTTAAAAGGTTAAAAACAGATTTTGAAGGGTAACAGAAAGCTAAACAGTTGAAATTTGAGATGGCAGGCTTTTGCAATATGGTCAAAGATTATGTCAGTCGATGTAAAAGAACTAGTTAAAAGGTTAAAAACAGATTTTGAAGGGTAACAGAAAGCTAAACAGTTGAAATTTGAGATGGCAGGCTTTTGCAATATGGTCAAAGATTATGTCAGTCGATGTAAAAGAACTAGTTAAAAGGTTAAAAACAGATTTTGAAGGGTAACAGAAAGCTAAACAGTTGAAATTTGAGATGGCAGGCTTTTGCAATATGGTCAAAGATTATGTCAGTCGATGTAAAAGAACTAGTTAAAAGGTTAAAAACAGATTTTGAAGGGTAACAGAAAGCTAAACAGTTGAAATTTGAGATAGAAGGTTTTTGCAATATGGCCAAAGATTAGGTCAGTCAAATGATTAAAGAAATGCAAATAGACAGTCTTAAGGAACCAATTGAAAAATTAATCACGGATTCTGAAGGAAGATATAAATAATTTCCGTACCTGTCATCTCCAATTATGATCATTGGGTGAACAGGGTTGAATTCAATGTGTGTCAATTTTGTCTTCTTCTTGTGTACAACTTCAAAAAGAAAAATCAACAATTAGCAAGAAACATTTTCGGATAAATTAAAAGTAGACGAAAATCAAAAACAGATTTACGATTTGGTGTAAACTTAAATTTGATTGCATGAAACACTAACGTATAAAATATATCTTTTACTATGGAAAGAATTCATTCAATTGGAAATTATTTACTTACCAAATTGCTCACATACAGGCTCATACTTGTTAAGACTCAAATCATAGACCACAACCTAAAAACCAAACTTTAGGTTTTTTCAATCTGTTAATAATGATATGATGAGAAGCTATTAATAAATCAAAAATAGTTTCTCAACTGCAGAACCCTGGAGTAACGCACGAGTTTGCCCTCCCTTTTTAAGCACAGTTCCGACACACTAAGGATTCTCTTTTAAGAACAATATAACGTTCAGTAATCAGCATCGCCCGCAAAACAGCATATGAAGTAATGTTTTAAGATATTGCAGATCTTTGTTACTTTTGATTTCTTTAAGTTTCTTTAAATAAAAATAGTAAATATGTCAATCTTGGTTAATTTAAAATGCATATACCATCTATTGCACTGGATCTTAGGACCTAATTACATTGCAGCAGGCTAGCCAAGAAGACGGCCTGGCTCATCTGCTGAGATAGAATTCAGGTTGGCATTATACTTGAAAAGAGCTGTCTCGACAAGCGGATCAACACAGCTGCAACCCCATTTGCCAACCCAACCCATTTGCCGACCTAACCCATTTGCCGACCCAACACATTTGCCGACTCAACACAGTTGCCGACCCAACCCATTTGCCGACCCAACACATTTGCCGACCCAACACATTTGCCGACCCAACCCATTTGCCGACTCAACCCATTTGCCGACTCAAAACAGTTGCTGACCCAACCCATTTGCCGACCCAACCCATTTGCCGACCCAACACATTTGCCGACCCAACCCATTTGCCGACCCAACCCATTTGCCGACCCAACCCATTTGCCGACTCAACCCATTTGCCGACCCAACCCATTTGCCGACCCAACCCATTTGCCGACTCAACACAGTTGCTGACCCAACCCATTTGCCGACCCAACACATTTGCCGACCCAACCCACTTGCCGACCCAACCCATTTGCCGACCCAACCCATTTGCCGACTCAACCCATTTGCCGACCCAACCCATTTGCCGACCCAACCCATTTGCCGACTCAACACAGTTGCTGACCCAACCCATTTGCCGACCCAACCCATTTGCCGACCCAACCCATTTGCCGACCCAACACATTTGCCGACCCAACCCATTTGCCGACCCAACACATTTGCCGACAACACATTTGTTGGAGCGATCGAGTCCTGGGAATAGGGTGGTGCCCAGTCTTTCTCCCGTCGACCACTGCGTTGACATGTCTTTCGTGATAAATCGCTTCGGCACATGACCTCAAGGGTTAGTTATTGGCTATTGTGGCTGAGTGTGTAGTAAGCACAATTTTGTTACGAAAATCACGTACATAATCTCACAAATGGATTTTCTCTATGCTCCGACCTAGACTTTACAACAACATTTACCGACCCTACACATTTTCCGGACAAGACCGTTTGCCGAGCCATCTTATTTTCCCATTAAACGCGTCTCACATGAACAGAACTTTTATCAACTTTGGATAGGAAAGGGATACCTACCGTGCCAGATGACGTCACAGCAGCAAATACAGTGGATGAATATGGCGCCCAGGCAACATCTCCAACTGCACTATTCAAATCGAAGGTGAAAATTGGCTCCCTGGGAAAGACGTCACCGATGAAAATAATTAGTGGCAATAAAAAAGTACAGGCTTTATTTATGAAAGTAATATAAACAAAAAAGCAAATAAACACCATACGATGTCATATAGAAAAGAATTTGATATTACCAAAAAGTTTTATGAAAACAAAAAATACAAGAACAGTTAAGATACAAAAGATACAAAAAGAAACTGAGTGGTATAATATAAAAAATAAATTCAGGGTTTTACCAGACGATTCTTTTGCAATCAGCCCAAATATTGACGTAAAAATAAAGAGCAGATGGTAGAAAGCCTCATATATAGAAACTTACTGCAATGTGTGATCCCAGATTTTGACTGTCCAATCGGCACTGCATGAGATAAAAATCTTTGAGTGGAAAGGATTCCACTTGACAGAATAAACTGCCATATGATGAGCCTGTGGAGTCAAGAAGATTCGTATAATTTTGTCATTACTCGCTATCTATCACTGAATTTAACCTGACGATAAGAAAACATACATGCATTACAATGGCAGTAAACTGGCGACGATCCAAACAATGGCAGTAAACTTCTGCGGATTAACCAACATTGATTTCAGACTGTCTAAAAATGCATTATGGGATGCTTGCGTAGCGCAATGGCTCATTGTTAGCAATGAGTCTTTAAATACGCTTTGAATGAAATTCAGAATACGTTTTCGTCAGGATGGAATTGTCTGAGCCTGAAATTCCTATTCCTGATAATATGCGCGACATTAAGATATTTTAGTATTCAGCATTACTTTTATTGTAATTAAACGCAGAAAATGTAATTGAATTATTGAGTTATTATATTACACAACATATTAAATATGCTATCATATCAATAGCATTTGGTAGCAGTGGTTATATCAAGAAAGGATATAACTTAATACAGAAAATTCACCAGTAAAAACATATCATGCTTCAATTAACACGAAATAAATACAATTGCTGGTAAAAAAATATTCAAACATAGGAGAGGGAAAAAAGTTGCTAAATCAAGACAATAATTTGATACAGGATACAGGAACAATACTTACATTATAAGTAGCAATGAATACTTACATTATAAGTCGTAAGATACTGGGTCGAATATGCTTTAGAGCATTTGTGAATTTTGCCCTCTTCAGTTCCAACAAGGAAGAGGTAATCAATTGACTCATGAAAATCGAATGCAGTTCCGCAGCCTTGAACGAAAATATTAATCACTAGTTAAGTACAAATGCCATTTTTGACAATTTTTCTATGCAAGACTTACATTTTACGAAATATCATGCATCGAGCAAAATCGTCTAGGTGACACTAATAGTAACTGCAAGTAACTGCAAGTAACACAACATAGTAATAAGTGCTAAAGGCTGCCAGGCCTTTTCCTAACATTACCAACAAAAAAAGTAGTTCCGTAAGAAATATGATATACAAAAATACCAGAAGAAAGCATCTTGAAAGACCTAGAAAGCCCTTTAAGTTTTCATTGAAAGCGTAAAAACATTAAAAACCAACCAAGTGTTGTCAGTTGAGTTCCTTCTGGACCATCTGATGTTACGTCATCCATTTTCAGTCGAATGACGTCAGTAAAATGCAGCTCGCTCTGTGAAAGAGGCAAAGATTTAGTAAAGCGAGATTAAATAAAATGAGGAGCAGGGGAATGAGAATTCGAAACATTTGGGATGCGTTTCTGCATGAAGATTTTTCAACTGTTTCTTTCCAGTGTACAGATGACATTCATTCTGAATCGAGTTTCCATTTCTCTTATCCTCAGCAATAATGCTAAATCCTTCATAGAAAACACAATTAATCATCCACTTCTTCTACAGCTAATATATCAAATGAAGTATACATTAAGGATTTTGTTGCGAAAAAGGAAAGACTAGGGCCTCTATGACTGCACGGTAACATTCATAACCTAGTATTACTAAAGTGCAATTATCTTCATTTGTAGAATCAAATGGAAGTCTTTCTAAACCTTGACAATGATCCACTGAACAACTCTGCCATCAGCAGAAACAGAGAAAAAGTTCAAGTTGCCATCGAGATCGTCTTTTTGCCATTTCACTTGCCAAACAGGATCAGTATGCTTTCCGCTTTTTGCAGTCGACAAATACAATGGTCGTGCTTTCTTTTCAGCCACATTGTACACACCTACGCTGCCTGTTGGGTGAAAAATTAAAGGCACGATGAAAAAAAATCGTTTGTTGCATGTGCACGTCACGTGGCACTTTCCTTGTGTATTTTAAGAAATCGAATGTACAGTACAAAGTATATTTCATGTCACTGGATACACTCATTTTGTATTAGAACCAGATACTTTTTGCCAAGTTTCTGTGTACTTGCTCATTGGACATCTTGAGGCTTGGGTTTTCTTAATATTGTTTTATTTCAAAATTGATACTTCAACAACTAATTGTCATGGATTGGTCAGAAGTAAGAAAACTAAACTAAAGTTTGCATGGAATTTTAAGCACATCGTTGATTAGCTTTTAAAAGCTTGTCCGTTTTTCACACGAGAAAACATTTTTACAAACATTGCTGCTTTACGATTTACTACTTATTTTTTTGGCAAATCGAGCCTCAATATTCTCAAAAAAGCTTTTCTTAGATGAAAAAGCGTTTTATCAGTAAATTCCCTGCTTTTGCTTCCAATTTTTCAATTATTGAAATGGCTATCCTTTCACCATACAACAAACAATAGCATTAATGAAAAGTAATAAGTTAACAAATACTAAATTTGTTACAATACGTAAAAGAAATTTAGGATTAAGAAGAACCAGCAAATAAATCTTCAGATGAGAAAGGCTTACCATCATAAAAGCCAACACAAAAGAGATTCCCGTGTTCCGCATGAACATCCAATGACATCACGCCACTTTCTGTTGGGTATATGTATCTGAAGCGGAAAAGCAAAACCAATCTCTCAACTTAAGGATCGCAGCTCTCAGATAGGCACATTCAGGCAACATTGAGCGACAGCAGAAAAAGCTTGAAAAAGGCAGTCAAATGATGTAAAAGGCTAGATTCCAAATTCATTGAGGGCGCTATTCCCCCATGTGCAACCCTAATCTCTTTTGCCTATGTATCTAAATACACAGAAAGGCTATAGCATTTCTAATACAAAACGCGTTGAGATATTCACGGCAGAGATGAAGCAGCTATTGCAGTAAAGAAAATTTGAATGCTATCGCAGTGAATAAATCTTAAATTTGAATGCTGAATTTGTCAGTTAAACAAGCTATGAAACGTGTAAAGAAAGACGAGATCAACAAGTGAGTCGATATCTTACTCGGGATAGGTTGGGTTCTTCAAGGAATACAAGCAAACCATTCCTGCACCTTGCTTCAGAAAATCATCTGAAAGTGAAATCGCATTGGTTCTATGCAATCAATATGGAGGAAAGAAACTACAAAGCAGTCAACACGGGAAAACAAACCTATGGCGCCATAAAGAACATCATCCAGGGTTTTCATTCATGTCTATCTATTTCTAAGTTAGCAATATAATTTACACAGCTTTAAAGGACGTAAGAATAACTCAAAGGTGCTCTGAGGTAACAACCCAACAACCAGAGCAATTAGAATCAATCACTGTGAAAATTTGGAAGGCCTTCTGAAGACTTTCACTGTGAATTCTGCATTGATGAATATAAAATTTATCATTAAATTAATGGTTTATTGAAAAATCCACTTAAGCTCACTCTGAAGGTATTTCTCGTAAATTTCTAAAAAAATATTCGGTACAATTTTCCGAGATTAAGTCTAAAGGTATAAGATACACGTTGTCTGTCAACCTTACAAACGTGACTGCTATCAAAAGTTTCATGGGGCCAAAAACAATCAAAATGACCCTTACATGTACAAAAAATTCCAAAGTGTAAAAAAATTAAAAAATGGAAAAAATCTCACAAGAGCCGTGCCCAACCGCCAGCAAATCTTGGTACTTCGGGCTCCTGAAAAAATGAAAATAAAATTTTGCAGTAGTCATCCAGTGAATTTGTATTAAACAAGTAATCTAGAGTAAACGTGAACTTGATTAAGAGAATAATATATATAGAAAAAGGATATGCATTGATCGACATAAATTCCGGCACATAAGTAGAGATGTTATTCATTTTAAAATGGCTTTGAAAAAAGCAAACATTTCAGTAACTGCAGTATACTAAAGCTTTTTCGTCTGACACTCTTCAGAGTATCAAACTTCAGAACTTTTCAAAGCCATTTTCTAAGTTTTGAACCACCAAAAGATTCTTAGCATTATTTATTCTCTTATTCTTTTCTTTGGATCGAAATCGCATTTAAAATCATCTAAAAGGCTGCCTGGAAGTATTTCTGAAAATAATTCTGAAAAATGGAGAATTTTTTCTAATAAAGATAACTTGTCCTTTCATGATTAAAGATATCATTATATAACATACAAACGCTCGATTAGTAAGTTATTTTACGATGCAAATGATATAAACTCAGTTCTTTCTCTAGACATCACTCGCAAATGAAAAAGAATAAAAACATGTAAAGCAAAGACAAGAAAGCACGTGTTCTCACCAGCACAACGAAGTTACGGTCATGCGCTTTGCTTTCTCGTATGAAAATTTCCACAAGGGTAAAAGGGTGCCTTCCAGATCTCTGAATTCATCTGACTCATCTTCCCAATATTTGAAGTCTATAAAAACAATTCGAAGTGACGTAAGCAGATCTGATGTACATTGGATAGCAAAGAGTGAGGGTAAACTGCGGTGAAATTTGATTGGTGAGCGCTGGAAACCCTCGCGTAAAAAGGGTGAATGGGAAAGGTGGTAACAACGAAATGTAGATAACAAAGCAGATGACTCCGAAACTAGACACGATTTTGAGGAGGCAGGATATGGAAAAATAGCTCATTTTTAGAGTTTTCGTATACATTCTGAAGTTTAGATACTGTTTTCAAGCCCAAAGGAAAAACGTTTACTAGTTTTGGGTCAGTAATGCCTATTTCTCTAAAACAAGTAGTGTAAAACCCTTTTGTCAACTCTTTTTGCTATAATGCAGGCAGAGAAAAAATGTAAACGACTACTTCGGTTGCTGGTCATTTTAAAATGATGTCATGCAAATCATCCACCTTTCCAAAACGACCACCTATCCGAAACGATCACAATGCAAAACGACCACCCTTGTTAAAGGAACACGTCGCCTGACATTAGGGTTTATTGCTTAATATACTTGTCCTAGCATGTAAACATATTAATTTTTAAATTCTAGGTTACGTACCATGTGCTATTTCGTCAAAAGTATTCTGGTTCACCATTCTTTCAACGATCTTCGCAGCTCTTCCTACTCTGCTAATGTCATCGCTCTGCAAACAGATTTTCAATGAGTTTAGATCTCCTAGTCCAACTTGCTTTAGGGGCAAAATTGTATCAAAGTATAATATAAATAGTATAATAGTAAGTATAATAATATATAGAACAAAATGGCATTGAAAGACAGAGATAAATCTTTGTGTGAGCTGCGACAGGGTGTTATTCCCAACACAAGGGAAAACCTCGCTAGTGTGTTTCATCGTGTTTCAGGAATCAGTCCTTATCAGAACAACAATGCGACGATCATCAGACACCTCAACGTGGAATTCCACACACACACACTTGCTATTTAAAAACCTTTTGTGTATTATGTAAATAATAGATGAAACGATAGTCTAAAGCAGGGGTAGGCAACCTACGGCCCGCGGGTCAGAATCCGGCCCGGGAAGAGAGTTTTTGTGACCCCGCGAGATCAAATATATCATATCATAATTTTTTTGGTTGACAAGGATGATTTTCTAAGGGGTCGCAAATATTGAGTTAAACATTTCGATTGAAAATTAGATTATCTAATGTTTTCATAAAACTTGGGAATCATGAAAAGATTAGTTTACTATCCGTTATCAAGAATTCATCCTGCTTAAAGATAGTACGGCAGAATCTCTGAAGGACTAGGCGAAAGTTCACAAATGCATCAAGAACGAATCGCACTGGGTGCACTCGTAGTCTCAGTTGTACCGTGGGCCAATATTGAGCTGTCCGTGGGAAGTAGTGTCAGCGGATCTGCCTTTTAGCTCAGACCATTCACTTAAACATACATGAACACCAAATTATCCAATAAAGAAAGTACGCATTAGTTTTTGAGAGTCGACTGTCTCTAATCGCCAAGAATCGCACCGTAAAGCAGCGCTGAAGTCCTAATGCGTATTTCTTTCCTTTCCACTAGAAAGGTTGGGTGATTGGTGATTTTGTCAAAGAGACTGTCGAGTTTCTAAAACTCATGCATACTTTCTATATTAGATAATTTGGTTTTTACGTGTATAAAAAGTTAATGGTCTGAGCTAAAAGGCCGATGCTAAACGTTGATTGGTGGATAATTCAGTATTTCCTTCCTAGGATGATTTTTGAAACCCTGAATCACATCTTTTTCAATTTTGGTTGGTTTTCTCAGTTTTCCCTTTTGAACTTACGACTGTAACAGTACTTTCTATGTAAAAGAGAGGTTTGTACTTGTAGTGAAGCTGAGTTCAAATGAAAGTTTTACATTATTATTATTATTATCGTTTTATTACAACTATCGATTTCGTTTTTCTTATTACCTTTGGCCCGCTAAAAAAAGGCTTGAAGGATCTGGCTCAGTCCTCAAAGAGATTGCTCACCCCTGGTCTAAAGTAAGACCTAGTGTACTCCAGTAAGACCAGTTTGTCAATTTCCTCAAATATACAAAACAACAGGCTTCTACTATGAGCAAACATGCATTTATCTGCCTCATAGCATATCTATTTTTTCTAAGTGAAAAGATAGCAAAATAGCGTATTTGCAAACTCGGCTCACCTGAATCTCAGAGTGGTTGGATTTCTTTTTCTTGTCGTCATCTCTTTTGCCCCCTGTACCTTGCTTTTTCGATTCTTTCTCTTTATTCTTTTCCTATTTCAAGATTTTGAGAAAAAAATTAAGCTGTGAATGTGAAGGCCAGCAAAGTTGAGAAATATAAAGAGTTGCAGCTGCAATGGATTGCAAAAACGAACAGCATTTTGAGTGTTATTGTATTAAAAACTATCTTTAAAATCAATGCAATTTTTTGAAATGATAGGTAGGACCACCGTAAAACGACAAAATGTTAAAATTAAATTATAAAAAAACTACATCGTCAGAGTGAACTTATAAACAACTTGAAACTCAAACAACTAACAAAACAAAAAGTTTTTGATATTGCCTTAAAAGATTGAATAGAGAAAGAAATGAATCGAGTAAGGCGGAGTGCAAGTCCATTACCTGTCTCTCTAGATCCTCGACATATGCGTCATAGATTTCCCACTACGGAGAAGAAAATGCTGCATAAAAAAATTTGGTATTTGAAAGATTAGTGTGGGGTCAATCGTGACAATGTCAACTCAAACTTGACTTTAGTGAATTTAGTGAATTTCATTTTCTTATGATGCCTGTTCATTGCTGACTAGTGCATCCGAATATTGACCTTCATCACATCGGCCCTGGAGGTCTGCGTTATGATTAAAAACAAACTGTACCTTGAAAACCTAATCTTGATTTACATTTACACAATTGTTCAAAAGTTTAGCTTCTCTGTTAGACTATGTTTGAGCAGGCAACACCAACCTGATTCGCAGTGGCGGAAAAATTTACTCTAGGAGGTGGCTCTGTCATCGTTCCTCGCTCCTAAAAAAGAAATACAGAGAATGGGTTTAGAAGTTGATTTCATACCAGTTTGTTGTAGGTCTTTCCTGAATTCTGCACATTAACAAAATATCAAGGTAATAATGTATTCTCTTGCTGTATTAGTAGTGAAAGAAATGAAAAGTAAAGAAAACAGAAAGCATTTGTTCTTACTCTGTAAGGATTATTATAAGTTTGGGATGCTCTCTCGCAGAAGTTAAACTGGTTTGTGAGCTTCTGGTCTTTGACGGCAGGAGTTGGTGTCATGTCTTCCCTATCCCCCTGAAATTAAGAGCAAATGGTCAGTCAAAAGAGGAATATTTACAACAAGTTAAGTAGGTTAGAGACTATGCAGCCTGCTTATAAAAAGGTAAAAGGAAAACAAAGCAAGATATAAAGTTACGCCAAATATAGTGGGTGAAAAATCAATGCACCTTTTCTTCAACTTTCTCCTCTGCAGTTTCATCTTCCCCAGGCTCTGTAAACTCATCTTAAAATGATAAAGACAAGTTTCAGAAAATAAAGAAATTGATTCTATTCCAAAGAATACTATGAAAAATTTTGATGGAAGCATATCTAAATCAATGTATAAGACAATGGCGTATTGTGAGCTGTTGAAGTGGGTATGTGGCAATGGGCGTGGTCAACAGGTAACGTCCCTGTGGGAGACCAGGGGGTAAACCCCGAAAGCTGCAGTTTTTTAACGCCAGTTTATTGTTTTTATGTATCGTGTTTTTGTACAGGAATTTCTATCATTTCAAAAAAGAACACTTGAAACACAATCCTAAATGATGATTATGCTAATGAAAATATGATCATTTTCTTCACAGTCACCGTGTTACGTATGTTATGAAATATATCTATTCGTTTAATACCTGAAGGCAAGGCTGGCGGCAGAAATGGAGTCGGAGGTCAGACCTGGTTTTGTTTTGTTTCAATCTAGCTGTTAAAAAGTGCTGATGTTGGAAATGATGCTATGAGTCCCCGCAATAAATTATTGGTGGTATCGACTCGCATATAAATTTCAAAAACTTAATGACCGCACGAATAATCTACTTGTACTTCAGCTCAGGATGTATTTTTTATTTAAGAAACAATAACTGCAGTATAAAAATGGCCTCTTATATAATCTATCCTGTCTCCCCTGCCATCTCATGTTCACAGCAGAGTACAATTTCTGAACTAAAGAACTATCCCGGTTCCTTTATAACGATTTAATGTTGCCAAATATATGAATATTTGATAGACCATTTCAAGGCAAAATGAGTACTCTGACAAGGCAGAACCCCGTATTATCCCTGTTTGAGCGCCTTCTCTCCAGTTTTGATGCTAAGGTTGAAATGATAAAAAATGCCATTTATAATTTTTCATTTGCTTCTCTACAATCTACACAATGCACTTGTTCTAATCCAAATCTCAATAAATTGCGCCGAGATACATCAACATACATCTAGGGCATGTGTTCGCCGAACCTCATGCCCTAGCATGCCTTGATGCTACGCCACTAAAATAAGACTCCAAAATTTTCTGAGTTGAAAAGTTCACAAAACAGAATAACAATAAGTAAAGACTTCTTTTTTATTGTTGGGTTTACAAATATGATGGAAACCACCCACAAGAATATTTGGCTTGTACAACTACGAATAGACTAAAGGCATAGCCAAAGCAAGTCAGAAATATTGGATTAATCACATTTGGGTTGTTGCACTATGCTAACTCATATTTTCAAGTGTGTTTAACCTAAAAGTGTGACTAAATTTAAGACATTTAACACATAAGATTAATATTGATGTAAAAACTAAGTATCTATCCATTTTTCTGATAAACTTCAACTGAATGTTTATAAAGTAGAACTTGCTATGCATCTTACCATCACCAATTCCATCATATTTTACCAACTGTCTTCTTGCTTCATCAGACTCTTTGTGTAATAAATTTCTAATTTAAGATATATACAATTAATGACGTAAGTAACTAATGATATGAATATTTAAGATTTTAGTGAAGTTTATTAATTTCATTAAATTTGATTCGAATTTTGAATGATTAAAACTTTAATTTTAATAAAAAAACTGCTCAATGAATAAAATCTTGTGCCTTCTTATTCTTAGAGGTTAAAAAAATATCCAAAAGATTAAAAGTCATTCAATTCAAATAATTGGTAAAAATGCCTCCTTTAAGAAGATAAGCTTTGGGAAAAGATTCAAGGCATAAACAGATTTTTTTTCAACCATATAAAGAACAGCTAATTGCAAAAACATGAATATTTAGGGATAAAAGAAATAAAAGAAATAAATATGTCCTTTGAAGCAAAGTTGGAAATTTTGGTTTAAAAAGAATGCATTGAAATTGATTTACTTACCCATCAAGACTAAAATGCACTGCCAGCTGATCAACATTGGGTATCTGCCTGTAGCTGTTTTCCTAATTGTAAAATTTTCAAATGAGACATTAAATTTTTGATAGCTCACAATTCCAAATAACTCAAAAAGCTGTCAAAGAAAGTTATAATATACACTTTCACAACAAAGTCTTAAAGTGATAGTCAAAATATACATACCTTGAAGCTGTATCTAACAATATTACTGGGGGCATGTGGGTTATTTGCAGTCAAAATTCTTGTGAATTCTTCTTTCAATTCTGTCTCACTTAAATCTAGTTGATCATCTGGCTTTATAAGTTGTTTTGGCTGTAAAAAGGAACATAAATTGTTGTATAAAAATCATAAATAGTAGTTTACTTTGCATTGATTTATATCTTATTTGAAAAAATATAATATTTTGATTAGGCTGCTTCTTAGACACACAGACTCTTGTAATGAATCCATGTGACTGTATAAAAACTTTGAATAATCAAATACAAAGAGAATTGATTTTCCAATGCAAAAAATCATGAATGAAATAAACATAAAATGTTAACATAATATCTTGCCCTGTATTAAACATTAGTTCAATTAATATCTATTTTAGCTCACAATGTTAAATGACAATACTTCTCTGTTCATCTAATTGCTCTTTGTCATTTTGTGCTGCTTCTGTTAAATTTTTATAAACTTATTTTTGCTATGCTGCTGGTTTATTGTGCAAAAAATTGAAATCAACACAACACTTTTGTCAATAAATACCACAGTTTGCACTTATATATGTAAGAAGTTATGACTTATGGATTGGAAAATCAATGCTGATTGGTAGAAAACAGCATGTGTTAGCCTACCTGCATCCAATCATCTGGATCATCAAATCCTCTGTTCAGTGCATTCTCATCATCCTGCATAACAAATGAAATTGAAACTTAAACGCCAGTAGTAAACAGCAAAATGATAAAGACAATCATGCCATTTCTAGTGTCCAAATAACTAAATGCATAACTGTGTTGCTTCGGTGAATAAACAATTTCAACTTTGATAGCACCTATCTAATATAGCTTTATTAGCTTTAGCATAACATTAAGCAAATTAGCAAGGATCCTAAAAGAACAATGTGTTGTTTCCAATACCAATCTTTTCCCTTTGCTTTTTGCAATTTCTGGCTTATTAGTAGTTTTCTGATTCTCAGCAACCCCAGCTGGAGCAGTTTTACGTTCCTTAAAAGAAAGAAAGAAAAACCAAATCAACTGCAAAATCAGGAAAAGCTACAAAATTGGACAAACCAAAGCAATAATTCACTGATACATTTTGATTATCAATACAAACAATGAAGAAGCAATAAATGCTCTAAAATAAATCATACGTTATTTAAGATAACAAGAACATTTAATGTCTTTCTGCATTCCCATCAAGAGAAAAATGTTCAAGAGCAAAATTATTTACCTTTCCTTGTTTGATTGATTTTCTCATGCTGACGTTATGTGAATTAGCCACTTGGCTTTTGATTTTAGAAATTAGGCCAACTTCGCAAACGTTTTGGAAGCCTGTCCTGTATATCACGTCTAGTTGTCTAGGCAACTAGATTGGCCTCCGCAGCGTTGACGTTTGTTTTGCATTGAACTGTCGTCGTTGCTGTTGCCGAGAAGTTGATAACTCGTGACGCAAAAAGACGGTTTTTAAGATGGCGTCTGTTTATTTGCTTATGTTGATATTTTCTACGTTGGGTTTCTTAGAGGTGGCCTATTCAGGTCATCTTCTGCAGGATTTGGGAGGCAACGAGACATTAAACACATCGACAACCGAACACCCAACTACTACAAACGCAACCACGAAACTACCCACTACGAAACTACCCAGCACAACAACCAGAGTTACACCAACTTCCTCGAAAAACGCCACTAGCACCGCCGGACCAAAGAAGGATTGTAGCAAACATACGTCGTGCGATAGCTGTGCTGATAGCTATAAGTGCTACTGGTGTGCACCGTCGAAAAGCTGCGAAAAATGGCCAGAACATAAGATAACGCCAGGGTCCTGCTCTGGGAATAAATGGTATTGGAAGCAATGTACCATCCCCGGTAAGTTGTGTAAATGACAAAATCTACGTATCAGCTTGATTGGCTTTATTGAAATTCAGGCATCAAATACAGGAATAACAGAAACATGCAATGTTTTTGAAGAATTTGAGAATCATTTCCAAGATGATTTACTGCGATGTGACACGACCACCAATGTCGGTCGTTTGGTTGTTAAAGCCATGCTATACTTTCATATATGATCATGGAGTGCAAATTCCATGCCTTTTTGCCCTATTTTGTCAAAATATAGATTCAACACAACTTTTAGCGAAGCCTGGCAGCCATTTTTTCTTTAATTTTTTACCTTGACATTAATTTTAACTGTTGAAGAGTAAACTTTGCTACGCACCTGCAATATAATTTCCCATCCTCGCACTTGTGCCTTCTAGTATTTCAAAACCCCTCAGATTTTAAGATAGACACACAGAGGAGCTGGAAGCTTTGTGATGCAGCAGCGGCAGGAACTGCGGAAAGGGCACCTTGGGGGAATCAAAGTTTGTTGATGAAATAGATCAGGAATCATTGTTTAGCCAATGACGAAGCCTGGTTAAAAGTGAAGGCGCTGTTAAGGGGAACAGGGTTGGTCTGGGGGCAAAGCCTTAAGGGAAATTTTGCGTTGTTACGCCCTAAAGACTCTTAGAAACAGGGGTAACACACAAATAATACATTTGAATGAGGACAGTCAAACTTTTATTCTCAAAATTTCTTTCACCCCAACATCAACCATCAAGGGAGGCTGGACTCAATCCTACCTTACATAGGAATTAAAATTTGTTTTGATGACCTTCTACATTGATATAACTTTTGGATATAACTCCTCTAAACATACTGTTTTTTCTTTCTTTTTTTAAAGTTGATACAATCTGTAGCTATATTGAAGCCCTTCCCAAGTGAATCGAGCAGAAAGATTCTGGCGACCATGTCCTTTCATCATCATCAGGTACCATCTTCTATCGGAAGGTTGGCTACCATGACCCTCCAACTATCCCTATCCTCAGAATATCGTTTAGCTCTCCCACTTACACCTGCTCATTCCTTGACATTGTCTCCCCGTGTTCTTCTTTGTCTTCCCCTGTCTCTTTTCCGTCAAGCATACCTTCCTGAACAAACCTTGCCAAGAACCTGGATGATCCCCCTCATAATAAGGCCAGCAAATCTCATTTTTCTTTTTATCATTTTGTTGACTAAAACTCTCTGATGTCCATGTCCTTTAGATTAGCTAAAAATCCATTTCAAAATAATTTTTGCAGTCATTTTTTTGCAATCGTTTAGAAAGCTGTACACTTTTGTAATGTCTTAATAATTGCTTTCACAAGCTGGAAACCCAGAGGGCCCCCTAAACCTCAATGCCCAAGGCCAATTTTCCATTGCCACCACCTTTTGGTAACCCTGGTTGTGATCTTGTTTCTAAAAGCAGATCGAATAGAAACATTTTAGATCTTGGCTCTAAAAGGTCACCCTTTTGCTCATTTTATATGTCACCTTAGCAATGCAAGGTCACTTGTTGATTATGCAGTTGGCAAAAATGGCAACTAGGTGAGCTGCAAAGGGGCAGGTAACCTGAATTTTTGAAAAGGGGCATGTACCCACTGCGCCCCGGTCTCTACATATTTGCTTGAATTTAAGACATCATTAATGCCTTGCTTGATATATTGAGCATTTGCAAACAAACATTGGTAGCAATCTGAGAATCTTGATCATGAAAATTAAAGAGAACATATCAACGGAAAGGTTTTTTGAGGTCAAATTGCTTGGCAAATTAAGAGAGCCATTTAAATCAAAATTTACCAGTATTTTGATGTTGTTACAAAAGTCTGACTGTGTGATGATAGTTTCAAAACAGACTTAAAACTCTAAGTTTGCAAATTTTCCACAACAGAATCTTACTTGATCATGAAAATTTATACTAAATTTTACTAATATTTATGCTAAATTTGCTAGGACCATGGATTTTTTGTCTGAGTTATGAATATTATATAATATATCTATATATAAATAGCATAGAGTTGGAGAAAATAAAACTACATATTTTATCTCTACAAGCCTGTTTCGTGAATAACTCACTCTCCTGAAGAGCCTTTTTCCTGAATAACTCACTCACGCTTTACCTGCAAATGTATTGAGCAATCTTACTTTATCTTTATCTTTCAAATCTATTAGCATTTTAAAAGTTAAAATAATCTTCTTTCCTCAGGTTACATTTTGGTAATTGTTGTTCCTGTTCTTGGGGTATTGATTCTACTGACATGTGGCTGTTGCATATATTGCAAGTGTTGCAGGGTTAAGAGCAAAAACAAGGAGCGGGAGAGAATTGAAAGGCGACGAGAGGATATGAAAGATAAACACGAAGAAAGAAAAAGAGAGAGGCAAAGCAGAACAGATTTGATAAGGCAGAAATATGGATTATTGAAGACAGAAGATGAGGAGCCTTTGCTGTAAATGGCCATGGATTTCAGGAGCTTCTGCAAAATAATTGTTACTGTACAGTGGCTGGTTCTTTTTTATGATTCTAATCAGCTTTTTGATCATTTAAGACTATTCTTACAATAGGAGAAGGCTAATAAGATAGCCAGTGCAGCAAAAGAAGAAATTTTGGCCATGTGAAGAAATAACACTCAGTAAATTATGTTGTTCGCTTTGTGACATTGTTTTATGACTATGAAAATATTAATTTTTGAAAGATTTAGAAGACAGAGATGCACTGACTTATGGTTCAAGCACATAATGCCTTGATTATAGTTGGCAATTTCTGTGATAATATAATAGAATAAAGATTTATCATTAATCAAAGCTAATGACTAAAGAATAGGAAAGAAATATAAAATCCACTGAAACTTATTTCATTATATGAAGACAAATTACAGTTGCTTCTAAAGGTGTCAGTTGCAGTACATTTTTACAAGTGAGGCATTTCGTTTTTCAATCAATTTTTATGTCCATTTGAAAAGCTCTGTGCTCCATTTAAAGAACTACGTAATTTGTGTATTAAACTATAAAATGTTTAATTAATTTTTTTTGCACAAAGTCACATTGCTTTATCCAATAAACTTGGTGTTACAGTTTTTAGAGGAAGAAAATATGACCTAAAATTGCAAGTTTGCATTTCTTGACATGTTTAGATTTACTACATGTCACTGAATACACTAAATACATAATATGGACAATTGGTTTCCCACCTAAACTCATACCATTACTGGCTTTGGTTGGCCTAGCTGCAGTAGTGAATTCATAAATCTATGTAGGGCGCTTATTTTCATGAAGGAGAGAAAAAGGAAGGGCGATGATAACATTTAGGAACATGATGCTGGCTTAATGTTAGAGGGATTGGCTCAATGTGCAATACCCGACGGATTTACACGCGCAAGGCCAGGGAAGGCCAGAATCTGCATCTAAAATAAAATTTGACGGGAGAAAAGCTAACGGTTCCATAGCTTTATCTATTTTAATGTTGACATGAAAAAAAGGGTCTTCCAAAATTTTGAAATTGTAGCAGCGTAACAGCATAGCATAACAGCGAATAATCGACTTTTTTACAAATGAATGAAACCAAAATAAGATGGAGAGAAAAAATAAATAAAAGACAGTTTGGCAATAAAGCATTAGCCATTGCCCTCTAGTCCACACACGCTGCCTCATACACATACGATAATAATCAAGAACTTCATGAACTAAAGATTAAGTTTGGCATTGGGCCTGGGATCTCAGAAAGTGGAAAAAGGGGTGAGGTCATGGTGAGTTTATCAACGACCTATTGAATTCAATGAAAGCAGTAAAATATTTTGCTATAAAACGTTTAAATGATTAAATATAGCATTTCCTATTTTTTTACTCCCTTTCGGACCAATTTCTGGTCAACGGGAAGCGCATTATAATTTACTGTAGAGAAAAAGAAAATATTAGAGCAGTCCAAAAACAAAACTAAATCGGATTCAAAATTTTCAAAGCGTCAGCCAAAAATTTATAATTATTATCATTACTCTCAATGTTTCCATATCAATGTCTTTTTTCAATTTTTCTATTTTCATTTTGTATTTTTTACCACCATTGTCACCATTATTATCATTATCCAAAATTCTAAGAACTTTTTATTATTATCATCACTGCCCACCCTCATAATACTTTCATCCCATCACCAACACCCACACTCCCTCACATCACTCGCCACCCTTGCAGCTTCTACTTTCATTACCTGTTCTTCTTCGCTGCGCTGCATTCACATCATTTCACATCAACCAATCCGACACCACCATCCCCTGTTTTAAACTTGTGTACTTTTTAGTCCGTTTACTTTTGCTCTGATGAAGCCCTGTATGCTGGGGTGAAATCTTAGCCACACTTAATTTAGGTTTGTTTATTGATGTTTGTTCTCGGCGTGTTGCGGTGCTCCTTATTTGCTACATTTTAATCGACTTTTCGCCGCAAGAATTCCATCGATCGAAGTCCGTCGAGCAGTTTGTTATCGCGACCTTTCTTTTATTTACTCAAATGTTCCACGATTCTTTGCTGATGTCAAATGAGCACATAAATAATATGGGCTTGCAAATCCAGGTTTGGTTTTAAACTCTGTTAATATCAAGCAATCTTTAAACATATCATTGTGGCATGTTGTCCTTGTTATATTTGTCCCACTTGTGCAAGGTCATCATGAACTCCTAGGCTGAATCCTTTCTATGCATTACCAACAAGGATAAAAACATTTAGCAAACTAAGTAGAGATACGTCATCAGCACCAACAATGCCCCTGTCAGCCACATCAAGGCACAGATCAAGGCCACTAATGATCTCTATTGACTCGTTAAGCTAACATGTTTACAAAGTACAAGATATTCCAAACATCTTGCAAGAAATCATGTATCGTACACATTAGTGAGATCACAAATCCTTTGGAAAAGAGCAGCTTGCATCCTTTCTAGATACGACCCATGCTTTAAAAGATATCTGTATTTATAAAATCGATTGTATTTCCGGTAGTCTGAGAAGGGTAGACAAATATCTATTGGTTGTGAGCGAGATCCCCTTTATGGGAATCTGAACAATGTGACTACTTGATTTCCTGGGGATTCTTATGAAGGGAATCTTGCTAACAACCAATCAAGATCTGTCTACTATTCTTTGAGTCTGTGCATATCTACAAAAACGGTTTTCGTTAAGGATGCATCACACATAACACTCTTACTGTGAAAGTGCACCAACAAGTATTTTAAACAGTTTGTTCCATGAATTTCGTAGTAAACATGTCGAAATTGACATTAAATCATCAAACATCTTATTTACGGTATTTGGTGTTCCACACGGATCTATCCTTGGATCAATGATTTCAATCTCTGCATTAATGATCCAAACACAGTATCTATGTCGGTTTACTGCGTAAACAATTAAAGTGCATTAGAGCCTCATGTGTGAGGTGAGGTAATAAAAGATAAAAATGATTGCTTGCTCCGTTCGATTTTTTTTCTTTCAATCCTTTTAATATTACATTACATATTGGTAAAATTTCTCATTTTTATTTCGAACGGAAATTCCCCACTACAATGATAATGTGTGGAGCTACTGCATGCTTCCCATACAAGAAACCAAAGCACTTATCAGCCCTGCTGATTCACTCGGAAAAACTTTGACATGCACTCCTTCCCAAACAATCGGGTTGATCATCTTTGGCTCTGCCACATAAAACAAATGACCCTCGCCCCAAAGACTTTGGAAAACAATACCTATATTCTATCCAAGAAAAGGAAATTTTGCTGGCTTGTGGCCCTCGTGTGTGATAACATGAAATAAGGAACCAATCGAGTCTGCCTTGGTAATTTTTGGCATTCCCTCTTCAGTGAAAAGCGTTCTCATCCATTGTCTTAGAGCAAATTTAGTACCAGATGAAAGTCTTTCGAAGTCCTGATCTTCGTGGGTAACATCCACAGGAGCCGAAGCCATGAGCTTTGACTGACATAAGTCTTGGGGCTTCTGCAAGCCATCAACAATAACTGTGGCGCTGAAAGGGGAATTGAATCAATATTATCACCTTGAATTGAATATCTTGGATTTCAGGTCATTCACCTTGAATTGAATATTTCGGATTTCAGGTCATCAGGCTATGGAACTCAAACAAAAACGAGGGAAGTCGCTTGGAAATTAGAGTTAAAAAATACGACTGGAAGCAGGAAATAGCAAAAAGGGCGTAATTTAGAAAGGGAACTGAATTCTAAATGAAAGTATGTAAATCCAGTGATCTCACTAAATATATCAGGAAAAAAAAGCTAAAATTTGTTGGCATTGTTTTGAAATCTTCGAAGAATTACCGAAAGGAAACCTCTTATCTCAAAGAAAGCGGTAACAGTCCGTTCCGATTAGGGCATATGGCAAAAGTTTCTGACAAACACGCATTGGCTGACAAACATTGAGACGTTAGCATCAGGAGATGACAAGTTGCTAAAGAAATTATCGAATCAAGCCGGAGGATTTTAAAAAACTGAACAGACAGACATCATCATCATCATATGCAGACTGCACAGCAACTGTAAAGCAAACATACTTGAAATATTGTCGCGGCGTTTTGATGGCCTGCCCGTGGGCATCACTCTGGCTTATTTGACGCACAAGCCCTTCATCAAGCCAAGCCGCTGCATCAACCTCGTTTTCATCTAGCTTTAAATCGCTGTCAAGTTGCGAAGATGATTTCTTTGATTTCGCCAGCAGATAAACAACAACATGATGTCTTTTGGGTAGACCCATGGAGAAAAGCGGCGGGTAGACGGACTACAATAAAATGAAGAGTTACTACTAACATAACATGCACATTACAGTAGGGGGGGGGGGGGAAAAAAAGGAAACAAAAGGCTGAAGGAAAGAAGCAGAAGAATATTAGCAACTTAAATTACAACCTACCCTACAAAACGTGATATCAGTAGCCCTTTTAAAACTAATGAGATTGTCCATCTGGGGATATGGCTAGGCTGTCAAAACACGAGCCATGCATCAGATAGTTAAATAGATAGATAATTAAATCAAGCAAATATCGTTTCTTCAGTTTTGCGTGATAAATAGAGAAAGCGTGTTTCAGGTTTTCTCTTGAAAGGTAACATACCTCCCACAGCCCAAGTACAAGCCCTTCTCCGTATTGAGCCTTTTCTACGGTTAACCCAGTTTCTTCTTCTAGCTCACGCAAAGCAGCTTCTTCCAACTATGAATGAACAGTAATTCGGGTTGGACTAATTTTTAAAAGGATAAAAGCCTGAATGAAAAATGATAATATAATAGTAAGTGCTGCTGTGATCGAGATAAAGTTACAAGTTTCGCCTAGACGGCAAAAATAAATAACAAAAGATTTCTAGGTTTTTAACTAGGTCTTTTCATTTTCACTAGGTCTTTCAAAAACAAAGCTAAAAATACGAGCATTAGTGAAGATAACATAAAATGCTCTTCAGAATAAGTGACAATAAAAATGCGTTTACTAAATAGGGATGGCGTTTCATACAAAATATATAAAATAATCAGATGCCAACATAAAATATAACTTTCATGGGCAGGCATAGGTTGTGGCCCTGGGTATGGTTTCTGCGGTGTTGCGGAAGGCAGCAGATGCACTTCAACAACCCTAACCCAAAAGGGAGGAAGTAGGCGTGACAGTACAAAAAGGTTTACCACTTAGTCCCAAGATAAATCCTTAATGTCAATTTCAATGAGACATAAACTGATAGATGAAATTATGAAAAATTAGTTATTCGACAGGAGAATATATCGGAGGAAGTGGAGAAATCGTTTTCTTAATTGAGATGATTTGGAATGGTAAATATTTAAAATACAATGCAATCTACATCAACAACTGGTAATGGATATTCTCTCATGACCATGAGATGCTTTCAAAAATGCAAATACCACATTTGTTTGATTATAACCAGCCGTCAACATAATTGAAAAAAACTCAGAGAATACAACTCACAGTTTCCCCCTCTTCAAGGTGTCCACCTAGCGACAAAAAGCGAAGTTTTGCACCATCATAATCATGCAATACAAAACAAATAGTTGGCATTGAGCATTCAGACAGAACAGAAGTGAGATGAATATCTTATAGAGAAAGAAAATGTTCTCTTTTTATTAAGCTAAATTTCAGTCACCGATAACTTTTTTCAGTGATATGAAACGAGACATATGCAACTGAAAACATTGATTGTTCGATCCAGAGCTGAAAAAACAGCAGTTGGGCACTGACAATAACAACCTGGCAGCAAAAAACTCCGCATTTTAACTTCTGTTGTAGGCCATACATGTTTGTTCTAGAAAGATAGAGGATTGCCAACATTGTTTTGTTACTGTAGCTTTATTATGGAGCTGTAACTTGGTAAATAGTATCAATTCACTGATACTGTTAATGATAGGACTCAAATTAGATGATAGAACAACAGCTTTACCATTCAAATCCGAAAAGGAATCGCAACAGAAAATAAGGTAAAACTACATGTATGAAAAATATGAGTAGTAGAAATACAGATTATATCAGGACATGATAATATGCTAACACACTGCTGTTGGTGTCATGAACTCTAAAGAAGTCTCAAGGCAAAAAAGCTTTGCACAAGTAAAATTTCAGATACACTTTGCTGGTATTTCAAATTTGTCCCCATTACTACAGACTTAAAAGTTTTAATGATTGGTTCACAGAAAGCTTGCTACAAATTCTAACAAATTTTTCGACAGCAGTTCCACTGAAAAACTTGCATGTTAGATCAATAAAAATGTTCCATTGGATACACCTCAAGTTTAGAATAAACAAATAAAATATAAAAGATTGGGAAAGCTTTTTGAACTTTAATGGAACCATTCTCAGGGAGGGTAATGCTATCCAGTTGGGATTAAGGAACTGAGTAACAAGCAGATGTGCCAGCATAGAGCATTCTTTTTCCAACAATTATCACAAATAAGGTGCTTACTCAAACAGATACTGTTATTGCTATAATGTATTTTGCTTAGTCCTAATTGTATACACAAATGCAAAAATTATAAGAAAAAAATAAGCACTTGAATAGAATACAAGGTTACCTGGAGGAACCCATACACCAGGGAATGTTCTCAGGTGCTTTGATCTTCTTGTGATTAGAACTCTCTTGTCTGAAGATTGGATTAAAACGGAGACACCAACCCTCACTCCACCATCTTTATGAGCTTGCGATATATTTTCAGTATCGTTTGCTGTCAAAAAGCAACAAGGACAACCAGGAGGGTGCTGAGAACAAAGTGAAGAATTGTTTAACTAATAATACATAAGGTTCCAAGCTATGTATGAATAATAAATTCAGGTGAAATACCAAGTTTAAAAAGACATTATAACAACTATCGTCTCAGAAGCTACTCCAGAACCATCTTCTATGAGCTGCCCCAACCTCAACCAAGCACAACATATAGTTTAAAGATTTCTTTGTTTAAGATGGGCTTGGGTCCCTGTGCTTTCTGGTGCCAGGCCTGCCCTTTAACCCTGGTACCTCAAGCTTAATCAGAATAGAAAGCCAGGTCAAGCATAAAAAGGGTTGCAATTTATCTCTTTGACACCCTGTCCTGTGTAGCTCAATAGCTTCCCATAAAACCTTTGCCACTTGTCACTAAACTAAATTTTTATGTCTTTAGCTGTCTCTCTTTCATGCAAGAGACCTACTAACTAATTTTTTCAATTCTTTCATCCTAGCACTTTCCCTCATAACTCAACCTTGCTGTTTATTAACCTTCAACAGCCTTTCTTACTACCCTTTTTGCTTAAAACCCATTCAAGTGTTCTCTTTATACCCAACCAATAAATAAGTAATAATTTAAATGAATTAGCTTGGTTTCATCAGTACTGGCATATACCAAAAATTCTTATCCATATGTTGTGATTCAGTTGCAATTCAATCGGGGATCATAATGAATTATAAACTGCAGTGGGATACTTTTTAAGAAATGAGGCAAGAGCATCCTACCACATTTCTACAAAGCCAAGAAATTATTTAAACTTGAGCTTCTCCCTATGAAAGCCTGGCTCTGCCAAAAAACACTTGAGACAAGTGCGTTTTTCTACAGAATTGTTACCTCAAATCTGACACCCTCTTCTGCTGGGAAAATTGTTAATCTCCCATGGTTGTACTGAAAACCAACTGTCATTTTGAGTTCCTTGCATCCAAATCTCCTTAGAATGCACTGAAACAAAAAGAGGGACACTGAAACAAACAAAAAAATCAAAGATTGAGATAACACAAATCAATTATTGAAACAATATCAATTAACATGCATTTGATTTGAAATTAATTGTTCCATGCACCATATAGCACAGGAAATAATTAAAGGGATATTTTGTTGTTGTATACTTTCATAATAAGTTCTATGCTAATTGTTGCACAGCATGAATTTTGTGGAAAAAACTGATGCATAATATATTTTGCCATGTATAAGATGCATTTGAGGGTGTCCTATAAATGGTAATCAACTTTTTTATTAATACCAGGACTCTGGTCTGGTCTCTTAAATAAAAGAACCACAATTTTGAAGAATACTGACTGGTGAGAGTACATCCCTGTACAATAGTTACAAATTGAACCTTTTGAAAGTAACAAGGAATGTTACATTCAATGTTACTACTACTTTTCATTCAAAGTACAATGTACAAAACTAGAAATGAGCTAAACCTTGTCCCTTCTTGATCATTGACACAGACTTTTCCAGGAAGGGGGAGGGGGGGGGGCTCAAAATTAAGTGCAATTGCTAATGGAGGCTGCAGAGGGCAGAGGGTAGAAAGAGGCCTAGCTGAGGGTTCTAATTGTGATCATTTTTCATCATTGCTACTATCTGCTCTTTTTCAAATCTCTTGAGATGTTTTGTATCGTCAAACCAAGGATATAGAAAATTAGTCTAACAAATTAATAAAAAAACTTCCCTATTTCATGCTGAGCTCCCCCCTTCCCCCCCAATTTTTTCCGCACAGGCTCAAGCCAGGGAGCCCCCTAAGTGTGTGCCTATGAGTTTGATCAATATCATTGATAAAAAATCTTTGTTTGATTTATAGATGATACATATATTAGCTATCTTTTGATTTTGTATAATCTGTTATATTATGTATTATAAAATAAAAGCCCCTCGAATGAAATAAAACAAACAGATGTACATAGGCCAGAAAATCTGTCACTGTTAACTTGCTTGTTTTTCTACAGTGTGTCGTAAACATAGCAGCTTTTCTGTTGATATGGAAAAGGATTATAATACTAACTTAGTGTTTAAACAAGCTTTGATACTTGATACTTCAGTCGTTTGCGGTAAATAGGGATGGATAGTACTAGAGCTCCTCGGTTTGTTTCTGCAAATTAGCATTATTATGTTGAAATCAATAAATCGATGTAGCATTTCCCCATTTATATCACCTATTTCAGCATTACATGTATCTTTTTGCTAGTTACCAAAACTTTTGAATTAAGAAAATGAAAAAGGGCTGAACTTTGCACAACCACACTCGTAGCGAAGTTCCGAAAAAAACATCCGGATAAACAATCTAAAGTTTTCTGAAACAAAAGAACTTTTCTTTACCTTTTCAAAGACTGCAGATCTTTCCTGGCAATCGGTGGCAGTTTCTTTTAAAAACACTTTGCTTCTGAACGAAGATGCCATATTTGCGCTGAAGAAGTGGCCTAAGATCACTGAAGTGGCATTGGCGACGTGAAATAGCTGGAAGTTCTTTCCTTTACAAAAGTACGTGTTGCCAAAGATGGTTCCAATATGCCAACGTTTCATAAAGTAGAATATATACTTACAAGTAACGATCCGTGCGAATTGTCTCCATTCCTCCACTTAGGCCTTCAGTCACTTCAACCTCTCCGTTGGTAAACAGTGGGAAACGTTCGTAACCTCTCGTAACCTCTCGTAACCTCTCGTAACCTGTCCCAAATCGAAGCATTCAAATAATTGACCTTCCCTACGAAACACTGGTGGACCAGAATCGCGTTTTTATATTTCAATTAAATGTTTTATCAAAAATAATAGAATAAATTCTTATTTCACATCCACTTTTTGGCTTCTTTGCTCTTCCACTAAATTTTGGCTTCCATGTTCTCATCCTGTAAATGAAATTACAATATTTTAATTAACAATAAATCCTGGAAAAAATGCCCCTTTGCCCTTTCTGTCCCTAAACAAGCGGTCTCTGTGCACGCATATTTTACGCACAACAACGGCAGTTTACCCAAACCTTCCCCTGATTTAATTATGGGTCGAAATTAACAAATACAAGAAATCTACTAATCTGGAAAAGCTATATCGATGAAATTTGTTAAATATTTTAAAGACTTGTGCTAGGTTCCTCTATAATGATGAACTGTTGACAATGGTAAGTATTCTGGAGGCAATAAACTTTCCAATATGCTAAGTAACATACAATTATTTTAATGAAGATACGATTTAGGGATTGTAGAAGTTATTCTGAAAAATCTGAAAGACAGTGTTTGTTAAGAACTCATTAGTTTCTATTATGATCACCGCTATATACTTGTCGCTAATCACGCGGTTCACTATTGTTTTGTTATATTCCTACTGCGTAGTTCCGGTCTTATGACTCTCACGCTTGCTGTACGATTTATCTACCTCTAGAATTTGTATCGTTATTGATTGCTTCTTCATGTTATGTTCGGATACAAGTTGTGTTTTCTTTACACTGTTATCTTAATAGTGTTGATGTTAGTGCGGTACATAGCTGCGGAAAGGGACTACAATTTTCAGAGATGCCATCTTCGATGAAAGAAATGCGCAAATCATGGCAACTACAAATGACTCTCAAGCAGTGCCTTATAGACCTGAGCCAGTTTCGATTGCGGGAGTATGTTCTTTAGCTCCCACAGGAAAGAGAGAGCATTTTATATTTTACCTTCAAGGTTTTTATATTGCTCATTTCATGTCAGGTTTTCGTCGACCGTAATTCCAAGGTATTTCACCTTTAGAGCTCGTTTGATTGGCTCTCCATTTTAATTTACTTCTAGTGGACCAAGGATACGGTCAGTTTGTCGTTTATGGCTAATAACCATATATTCTGTTTGTTCAGTATTCAAGCTAAACTAATTCTGACGTAACCATTCTGCAATATTATCGATCTCAGCTTTTAGATCATTACAGAGATCGTAGATATCCTCGGCAGAACAGGTTCCACTGGTATCGTCCGCATACGTGTTTGAGGTGCATCATTGACATACAGGATGAAGAGGAGCGGCCCCAAGCACGATCCCTGGGGGATGCCAGTGAACCGTATCTATGGCCATTTATTTGAAAGTATTGTCTTCTGCCGGTTAAATACGATGTGAACCACCGAAGAGATGTCCCTTCCACTCCGTATTTGGTTAGTTTCCATAGAAGAATCCCGTGGTCCACCGTATCAAACGCTTTTTTAGGGTCGAGAAATACGCTTATATTAATTCTATGCTTGTCAATATTATAAAACCATGAATCTGTTATGTTTAATAGCAAGGTCAGGGTGCTATGCATCTTAAAGAATGCATGTTGACTTCCAGAAAATTTCTTTTGCTCTTTCATGTAAGTTGAGACTTGGTCGTGCCCAAATTTTTCCAGTAACCTCGAGAATACAGATAGCACGGATATAGGCCTATAATCACCCATTTCACTTTCAGAACCAGACTTGAAAATAGAGGTTACCCTCGCTATTTTCCATGTGTCTGGAAAAATAGCCATTTTGAATGAAGAGTTGAATGTAACAGCTAGTGGCTTGCATAAAATTTCTGCTGCGTCTTTCACAAACTGAACTGAAATCTTATCATAACCCGCAGATTTATTGCATTTCAATCTTTTGATTTCAATTTTTATGAGGTCTAAAGTAATTGCTTGAAATTCAAAATATGGGGCTGTGGATGCATCTTTGTTAGCGAGGTATTTTAGTGGGTTATCAAATTCTTTAGTTACAATTTCTCCGCAAGTTTAGGACCTATCGTTGTGAAATGGTTATTAAATGCTTCCGCAATTCCCTTCTGCTTTTAAATTAGTTCACCTTTATACATGACGGATCTGTGAGTCGTGGAGCACTTACTTTTGGTTAAAACGTTGTTAATCGTTTTCCACATCTCCTAAGGGCTATTTGAAATTTCATCAATCAGATTGCAGAAGTAGCTTTTGACAGCTCTTCGGAGTTCACTGGTCACCCTGTTTCTTAAGTATGCCCCGCCATATAGGACAAAAGTCTATTTTACAAAATATAGGATGTCATTGTAAATATATTGTTTAAATCTATTATAAATCTGTTCTACAATTCATATCGACTATTCGACTTTATTTCCTCTTACTTTATGCGTGTCCACTTGACATTTATAAATTGTTGTCGGAAATTTCAGATATATAAGGGTCTGAATTTGCTTGCAAATATATAAGGTCTGAATTTGTTTGCAAATATAGTGGTCTGAATTTGCTTGCAAATATGTAAGGTGTGGAACTTAACACAGAACAGCATTGAAAGCCTTGTTTGTAGAGAGGAGACACCTTCACCATATTGCCAACTGGCTTTGGAAAGTCTCTGATATTTCAGGCTGTGCCTCTCATGCAAAGAAATTAGGCCTTGTAGTGAAATGCATTAAATAAGAAACACCGCAAGGCGCCGAGAACAAAAAACAACAAACACAAGTAACTCAGTTATAGCTAATATTTCACCCGGCATACGGGGCTTCGCTTGTCGTATTGGCCATTTTTGCTGTGATGAACTTCCAACGTGATGATTCTAACCGCCGCGGTGTCTAAAAGCACGCTGCCTTCACAGTGAGGAAGTAGACTTTAAAAGTACACACAATTTATGAGGAAAATTACAAAAGACTTATTTTAAGTTGTATACGAAATTTAATAATGATTAACATTTAATAACTGCATTGTGCTAACTTTAATTTCATGCTTCGCATGTGTTTTTTGCTGCCAAATGGCGTTTTACATCTGATTTGATTAAATAGGCGTATTAAAGCCACATGGCGTATTAATAATGTCGACTTTACAGAACTGTATAAAATACATTTGCTTTAAGATTTCCCAAAACTCCTCTGAATCTGACTACTGAGTATCTTTGTTATTTATCCGACAGTCTTGTTTCACAAGGCCTAGTCTGTTAAATAGACTACAGTTCTTTCAAGTAAGTTCACCAGAACAAGAATGGGGCGCACTAGACCAGAGTCTGGTACCCAGGGTAGGGTGCATGTCTCACTGTATTTTTTCGTATTTTTACATATGCATGCATATCTAAGATCAAGTGGAAAAGTTCGCAAAATTTGTTTGCCATGATATTATGGTTATCCTAGGCAGTGGATATAGCCATTTCCCAATCAACACTTTGCAGGTCGAGAAGAAAGGTTTCTGATGCCAAAAACCGTGTAATGGTCTGTCATGCCAATTTCTATACGCCAGAGCAGGAAATAAAATTAGGTCTGTTCCTTGAGAAATGATCAATTACCATTTTGGTTGTATTTGTTTCTCCATTAGAGCTTGTTTTAGTTGCTACCCTTGTAAAATCTGTGATCAGCTGTTCGAACTGAAATTCTGAGTAAAGAAGTTTCAGCTTTCTTGTGTAACAGTCTTTTGGTTTTTTATAATCAGAGTTGGTCTCGCCAGTGAGAATAATCAGAGTTTCTTGCTATCTGCATCCAGCTCTTTTATTATTCTGGTTAAATCTTCAAAGGTAGTAACGTCTGTATTCTCGGTAGGCGGGCGATACCAACATAGCACGATGTAACTGTTTGGGGACAATTTCAATACCTATAATTTCTAGGTTTGGGTCTTTTATGTCATCTCTTTTATGATGGGCAAGGCTATCTTTTACATAAACAGCTACGCCACCGCCTGAGCTGTCCCTATCGTGCCTCTAGATATCATATCCCTCTATTGAAACCTCATTGTCACATGTGTCTTTTGACAATCTTTTGACAATTAGCATTTCCCTGTAGTCCCTAGCAATATCTAATGTATTTACTATAATTTGATGCTAGAATTTTAACACCCCCCTCGTAAACATGAAGACCAATTTGAAAGGAAGACTTGTCACTAGATCCCAAATATCTAACTATTCAATAAGAAATTGCCTTCACCTAGACACAGAATAGGAAATAGGTAATTCCTATTCTGTGAACTAGACATCCCAAGGCAAAACCTAGGATTCTCCAAAGGCAGTTTTTTCTATTGTGGTGCACAGACGTGGAACGAAATCCCATTACAAATAAGAATGAGCACGATTACCACGTTCAAAAATCAAATAAAGGAGTTCCTGCAAAATTAGCATCCTTTCCCGAAGCACGATCCCTATGAAGACCAGCATTATATGTAATTTTATCTGATAGTGTTTCTGTGTATAAATATGATAAATAAAATTAAATATAAAACTATAAAAATCAAGCATTGTCTGAAAGCTTTTATGATAACTTTGATGACCACAGACATCCTTCCTCAATTTTGATCCGATGGTTTTTCTGTGGGTTGCGTCAACATTTACCTCAAACCAGAGGTCAGTAGGTAATCCACTTTCATTTTCGACTGACCTGAATAGGCTTTAATGTAAAAGTTTTTAGTGTAATTTTGCTGATGACAAAACAATATTTATCATGACAGCCAAAAAACGACGGATTTTAGAAGCAAGGATTGGGGTGTGTTAGATGGCGATCAGATATTGGTGCTGCACCCTATTTCACAACAACTGACTTTGCGATAAAGAAGGAAAGATGACGAATGAATTAAAAAAGCTGGCGAGAAAAAGTCTTTTAAGATAAAAGATTCCCTCAAGAAGTTAAATACCTCTCGAGCAGCGAGCAGTGAATTACATTTATTATCATAATAGTATAAATCGTTGGCAGAGCATGCACTTGCCATGTTAAAGAGCATTGTTAA